TTTGGATAGGACATTGATATTAGCTACTTTGCCCCAGTATGTCTTTCATCAATGTTAGTGGTTTCCATGATATACTAACTTATTGTAAATAGAATTCACGAAATTAAAAGAATACTACTACAACTACGAAGTCAATAGAACTAATAAAGAATTTACGAAGTTAGTAAATCAAGAATTGGTACTGTACATTGTACAACAATAATATTGTACGGCCAAAAGAAACCTTGCTCTTTGGGGCAATTGACCTTGTGACCTTCGTAATGAATCTTATATGTCATTTGGGTAAATTAATATTTATTATTATGTAAGATAAAACTTTTATGAATTAATTGAAAATAGTGGATTGTTTTTTGATTGTTTAATTTTAAAAATCATTTGCCGTCCTTTACGTTGTAATCAATTTCGATTTCGATGTATTCAATTTATATTTATATCAGTGACCTTCTACGAAAGCGATAACTTATTATATTATAATGCTACACTTTCTGATAGAGGTGAACAATGGGTATGCTTACGACACAATTGTTACGTCGAAATTGAACGACCGATACGGTCGACACTTAGGTACTTAATATTTTGGTATCAAAAAACTCTTACAAGTAATACTTTAAAGAAACAATTATTTCAATACCTATTTACTATTGTTAGCTCTACATAATGATATATATTCGCGGTAAATCTCTTCCGATATAGTATATTTGATTGCAGGTATATAGAGTTAACGAACCCCTATCAACATTCCGCCTAAGCGGGACGATATCTATCCCCCTTAAACCACAATCTCCGACGTAGTACTTTTAATAATTATAATTAAGCTGGAATATAAAAATAAATATTTTTACTAAGAGTCACTTGTCAAAATTATTAATTTAATTAAAATGTCTTAAATACGTATAGCTAACATTTGTTAAACTTTAATTAAACATGTGAAATGTAAATCAAATTAATAATTAGATACAAGTGTATTTTAACCACCTATTTAATTCATAGATCTGTTTCACGTTATCCATCACTCTGACGTGGTTCTTGGTGACAAAATGACTCCTTTATGTCGTCTTAAACGAGAGCAATTCGTAATATGTACGCAAACAATGGTTGCCATTACGAAATGATACTCGCAGTTGCGTACAGCATGTTATACTCGTACTTATAAGTTATACCTAATGCATGTTTTGTGAGTCATACTCGGATATACATTAAATAATATTCATTTCAGTTTGTATTATATTATTAAATAATTACAATAAATATTAACAACAAATATAAACAGAAACTTATTTATTAATATAACCATGTGGACAAACAGTTTTTATTTACCTTTACGTCATTTATGAGTTGAGTTTATCCTATATAAAGTTTTACTGTTTGTTTTCCTGTTTTTTAAAAACCTCTAAAATAAGTAAATATATAGGTTTCTTTTAACAGCATAAGCTAGTAGGAAAGTAAATAAAATAAGTATCTATACCTATATTAATACGTGAAGCAAAAACTTTGTACCTACCCCTTTTTACGAAAATTGCGCGGACGGAGTATGAAATTTCCCACACTTATAGTTTATATAGAGAAGAAATGCAGCATGCCAATATTTTTTATAAAATTATGCATAAAAAATACATTAAATCAATAAAAAAAAACAACACGCACGCTACCATGTATTTGACACACACACGCATACATACTCTTTTGTTTATTGTTAAAGTCTGTGGTCAAATTGGGAATTATGTATTAATACGTGAAGCGAAAACTTTGTATCCCTTTTTAAGAAATTTACGCGGACGGAGGAATGTGAAATTTGACACAGTTAAAGTTTTAATGGAGATATAGTGTAGAAAGGTATTATTTTTTAAATTATTAAAATGTAAATTAATTAAAATAAACATTTTGTTTGTGAACCGATCTGTTTATTTTTTGTTTTAGTTTAATAGCTATTGACGAGCTTTAGCTTTACAAATAAAAAAAATAATAATCATGGTCAAAGTTCGACTATTCGGCGAACTTTAGTATTATTAAATTACTGTTCTACTGTTTTTGCGTGGTAACTTATTATTATATTGTACTTATTACTATTTTTTATTATTGTATTTATTACTAGCATATATATGTATATACCTACGTTTAATATTTTATCTGTTTTATAGTTGCATAGTTTCATTGTCTGCATTGAACTCACGCAAGATTTTATGATCGAACGTGAATGTGGTTTGTAAATAATAATCAATCCATTTTAATTATTATTTAGGCCATAACTAAAAGCCTCTGTACGTGGAATTTCATATATTTCCCGCAACAGGTGCGCTAAATAACGCCTCGTAACAGTTTTGTACTTTCTCGCAAAGAGAAGTAAGGCGATGTTTCTCAGAATACATTCTGCTTACTTATTTACTCATTTTGTTCAAGCTTTGAAAATGTAAAATATTAGAATAGCGTGTTTTAGTGTATTTTAAAAAACTTATCATCTTTTCGAAATATTTTTATGCATTATCAAAATTTATTAACAGATTTTTATCTTTAGTATATCCATTAAAGCCAACATTTTATAATAAAACAGTTTTTAGCACCACTATAACAAAAATGACAAACTTTTTAACGTGATACGTAAAAATTTCTCTAGCGACTTCATTCACCATTAGTATTAACTTAAGACATTAACATATTTAATATTAATTTTAATTATGAATTTTTTTTTTAATAGCTTAAAAATTAATAACATTATGTAACAGATACCTAGCTTACTTGAATAACGCGTCCGTATATAGTGTACGTATTTATTTTACATGCCTTTAGGTACTTAATACTTATTGCTACTATAAGGAAAGTAAAACCTAAGGTTGTACGAATAATAGTTACTCGCATTAAAATAGTATTAATAATGTATGACATTCACGGATAGATGTCATAGATGATCGTGGATGACGTGCCGAGATGATCGTCCCATAACCCATTGCCACACCTATGGCTTTGGCTGCAACAGTACAAAAAAAGCGAGTTATATTGAGTTATACTAATAAAATTCGAAAATGAGATTGAAGACCATACCTGTTTAGTATCTAAGAATAAGACAGCGAATTCTTACTTACTTAATAATATAGAAATTAAAGTTCATTTTGATTTCTTAATCTTATTAACACAGGTATTAAGCCCACACAGGTTTAGTAAGACGCAACCTAACGTAATGTAAACTAATTAGATTAGTATAACGTCAGACACGCATTATCACCGCGTCGTCAAAAAGCCTAAGAACTTGTATTCATAGGTCATCCTACAAGAGAGATAGCTTAAAAATCCCATCAAAAACATAAATGTGAAAATAGTAGCCAAGTTCAATATTAAGAATAAGCGTGGTTGTCAACTTCACTGACAAAAGAATTGAGATTTAAATGGGTGCCAAGTTCTGTAGATAATCCTAAATTTTTTCATATAAACATACAACATTCTAAAATAAATTTAAAACACAATTTCTTGTATTTTTTTCTGCTACAAAAGTATTTGCTATTTAAAAATAGAACTTGTTCAATTTGAATAGTCGAATTATTTACACAGAGTAGATAACTTGGGATAAATTGATGTTCAATATTGAACTTGGCTTACATACAAGTTATTTTATATTCGGCTAATCACTAATACCTTCTTCATACTATACGCAAGTCACTGTTTTTATATTGTAAGGTCAACATGTTCAAATTATCTCTAAAGCCTAGTTCGCATTAAGCTAGTATTTTAGTCTAGTAGCGAGTAATTTAGTAACTAAACGTGTCTGAACACTAAAAATTTAGTCGATTAGTTTAGAAAGTAATTTAGTCGAGTCAATCCATTTTATTCTATTTTTTTGGGCGAGTAGCAGCCCCCACTACGCGTCCGAGCTCACTGGTTCACCGGCTAAACAAGTACGAACCTGTCGAATTAGTCGAGTTCATTAGTTGCCGCTGAATTTAAGAGTGTATTTTCATAAACAGAAAATTTACACAACTTTCGGACATTCTCAAACTATCGAAGTATTCTTTGGGATCTTCCAATGCTAATTCCTTCAGAAGACAATTAGTAGCTCCTAGTTTATCTCGTCTTTCGATCCATTTTCGTACCCATAGCTTCTTTTTATTAATCACACAAATTTCCTCATCCACCTCTTCTAAAATAGCCGTTACGATCAGCTTAATCAGTTTATTTACTTTGTTGCGTTGTAGGCTGTTCATCTTGCAAAACACCACTCACTTGTAAACTGTACTCGACCAAAGTGCGAACGATTTTTGGTGAGTAGCGAGTAATTTAGCTACTAAATTACTCGCTACTAGACTAAATACTAGCTTAATGCGAACTAGGCTTAAGGCGAGGTGAAAAGTGGCTCCAAATGGTTCGTGTAAATATACACACGGTGCTGCGTCGCCAGTTTCTTTAGCTTGAACTTGGCTGGACACGCTACCGTGTGTCTTGATCTATAATGATACAATAATATTATAAAGAAGAAAGAATATATTTTTTTGTTTTTTTTTTTATAGTAAATAAACTCTGAAACTGGACTGGTTTTACTGTTATAAAAAATATAAATTGTGACTACATCAACAAGACATCTGGGGTGGCTAGTTAATTAATAATAGTAATGACTAGCGACTTTACTCTCGCTTCGCTCGGGTGAGTCCCTAGATACGCGGATTTTGTTCATAATTTCATGGGTTTTATTTTTTTGCGCGAGACCCTAGTTCTTGTTCCAAAACAAAAGTAGCCTTAGTTACTCACTATTACATCAGCTAGCCAGTAAAAATCCCGTTAAAATCGGTCCAGCCGCTGCAACATGACAGACAGACAAAATTTAATAAAAATGTTTTTTTATAAGTATCATTTATAATTTCATATGCATTTAGTAAAACACTGTGATTTTGACATTACAAACAGACACTTTGTGACAATTTTATGTATAGATAATATTCAGAATGGTATTACACATAAATGATAAATAAAAAATAGGGCTTTCCCGTTGGATTACTAACACTTGTCCGTATGTTCAGATGGCGCGGTGATGGCGCGGGGTACGTGCGCCTTGGCGCTACTCTGCGCGCTCGTCGCCGGCGCGGTGGCGTACACCGTCGACTGCAACCACGAGTACACAGACTGCGACACTGAGCTTAGTGAGTAATAACAATTATTTCTATCCATTTATATTTTACTAGCGACTCAAACTCGCTTCGCTCGGGTGCGTCCCTAGGTACGTTTTTTTAAACTATTATTTAACGTAAACACGTAAATTACTTAATATTTTTTAATAGATTAAACGTAGGACAGTTGGTTTAAACCGTGACATTTTTCTTAATTAGAGAATTTTATATTCGTAACTTCTAAATGAAAAGTCCGATCCGAATAATTTAAAGTAGAATTTATAAGTACATAATGAAACTTAATTATCAAACCATTTAAATGGATAAGGATTATTATAATACCAATATCACCACTATTCGATTCCACCAGTATTTGAATTTTATAATTTAAACAAAAACTGTTATTATGGCTTAACTAGGTATTATAGTTACGCATATACCATCGCGGACTTTTTTGTGAGCAATCATGAGTACTATCACCTCCAGGTAAATTTCTAAGACATTAATTAAATTTCTAAGAAATCTATTGTTAACTGTAACGGCGGTGTGTCCGCGGTCGTGGAGGGACTATTAATATATAGAACACAAAGAGCTGTTTTGTATTAGAGCTTGTAGATCGCATAATACATATTATAACCGAATTGACATATTTGATAGTAATATCAACAGATTTTCTCAAAGCATAACGCACGCAAAATAATGACTTTTATAGACAACATTTTGATACCCTGGGGTTACAATGTTTCAATTTAGGTAGAGATCTCTATTTAATTTTAATATCGGTCGAGTAGTTTTTGAGTTAAATCGTAACAAACAAACCAACAAACAAACAAACAAACAAACAAACAAACAAACAAACAAACAAACAAACAAACAAACAAACAAAAAATCAAATCTTTCCTCTTTATAATATTAGCTTAGAATCTTAGATTAACTCAATCTCTCATTAACAATATAATTAATGTTGAATAGCTCATAATATCTTGTAGTCTTTCTACAGGTTAATTTTGTTTGTGCTTTAAATTATTTCGATAATTAGTAAATAATAAAATTAGTGCGATCATCTTATGACAATTTAACAATTTATATTAGCAATATAATTGAGATAGAACGTACCGCATGAATGTTTTAACGATCATGTTAGTTTGTGATGTAATAAAAAGTAAATATTTATATAATGTGTATAGCAGAATTTTGATAATTCAATAATGTTTTATTTATTTTGTATAGATAACATGATTTAACATATCACATGGGTCATGGAGATTTTATTCAAAGGTTATAAATACCACTTTAACATAGAAAATATGGAATTTATCAAATACTTAAATGATAGAGGCCGCCGAGTTCCATTATTTTTTAGGCCTCAACACAACAGTTTTGCCCCATGGTTTCGTAGAGCGTGGTTAATATATACGATTACTGAGAACTAGTTTTTGGTAAGAAATAATAATGTGGATAAGGCGCATATTCCTTTATATATATTATATAGGTAAATTTTTTGTCTTATTTTTTCATTTATTTAATTTTTTTTGCAATTTGTATAATTATTAAATAGAAACTAGAACGTCAACAGTAAAGTTCAAGTCATAAAGTGGTATATAGATAAGTATACTATAATAAGTATTTATTTCTAAAATGGATATCGTTAAAATATTTTATTGTAGTCAATAAAATACTTAAAATATCGTTTTATATATCGTTTGATGTACAATGTATATGTTTTGTATTATCACATTGATGATGATAATATGTATCAAATATTTATTAGAAACTTGTTTGAAATATAGATTAAATATTTTATTAAAAAAAATATTTTTGATGTTTCCACTAGTGACTCATGGGTACCTATATATGTCTGTACGTGAGTACGAGAATATTAAAGCGAAAGTTTATTTTTTAGTAAGGAAACTGTGTGTAAATTAATTTTCGCATAATATAGTTCCATACTTATATACGAGTACCATTCAATCTAAATCCATACTATTGCAAATGTTCTCAAAGTAAAGAAAAAGAAATAAAAAATTAAACATGGCGGAACCTTCGTGAAGTCGTGAGTTTGCCGCGTTTGGAAGACCAACAGTCAACACATTCCGGTGCTTTTTTGTTTTATAAAGACGCTTTAGTTAACTTTTTTATCTGTCACAATTTGCTACATTTGTAACACATATGAACAGTAAAAAACTTGTTGTCTTAAAGTAGTATAATTTCTTTAACTTTTATAGTAATGGCGCTAGTGTAGAGTGAGGTCTCTAGAACTGTCAAATGACACTGAATGTTAACTGCTTGCGAGCTTTTCATCACGGACCTTCATTAAGTATTCATAATTATTGTAAACATTGTGCCATTACTCGCCACTGGCGCCAACTGGTGCTACCAGAAACGTTCTTGTTGCACTATAGACAAGAAGTTATGCTTTTGACCCCTTTGTAATTAAAAACTTTTTGGATAAATTATAAAAAAGGTTTTAATAATACAAAAGTGTAAAAAGTTTAACGACTTTTGACTTTTAAAGATAAGAGATTTCTTATAGATATGCTAAAAATAAAAAATAACAAAGAAGTTTATAGCGATAAGAAATAGTATAAGCCATTAAAATTAAGTGAATATAAAAGACAATGGGAGTAATTTAAAAATTTAAACGTTTTATATTATCATGAGAAATATTTATTTTGGCCTTAATTGAAATAGTCAGTTTTTTTAATTATCTAAATTATTTTTCATTTATTTATAGTTTACCTAGAGTACCTACATAATTAATATTTTCAAAAAATTTAAAATTATTTGACATACACTAAATATTTTTTTTATTATATATGGAGACATCCTTATACGAAATTTAAATTATTCGGACTACATATTTATTAACAAACTCCAGAATTAAATATACAAAACAGAAATAAAGTGAAAACAGATAGGTAAATAAAAAAACACTACGTGTACGTACGTAACAAAACTAATTAATAAATAATCGTGGACTATTTTTGTTAAATTTTATTAATTATATTCTGTAACAAGAGTAAGTTGTCAAAGAGGCCAGTAGTAAAACTTTTGATAGCACATTTCGTTTTTAATGTTAATAAGAATTAAGAAAATTAAGTTTTACTTACATTTATTATATATTAACAAACATTATACAGCATTACTGCATGCAACTCTTGCTTAAAAATACGTAGGTACTTGCACAGATATGATTTCGGATAAAATTAATACTTATCAACAATATTACGTAAATTCATCAAAATAAGAATCATATTTAATATTTATTTACAAAAAAGAAAATTACAAATATACTTAATTATATATACAAAACATATGTATACTTAGTTATTACTGTACATATTTAATTAATGTATTGCATACTAGTTACTTACACTCGCTTTGCTCGAGTTCTTCCCTAGGTGATGATTTTAGAGATAACATACAAATAGTAAATATAAATCTTACGTCTTTTCCGGAGTCTCAAATTATGTCCATACCAATTTCATTTAAATCGGTTCAACGGTTTAAGGTAACAGACAGACAGACAATCAGATAGACAGAGCTACTTTCACATTTATAATATTATTATGGATTTTAGTATTATATGTTAGTGCTTAGAGGGATTTCTTTAATCATTAACGGTCAAGTGTGTTGTTAAGTGTATAATATAACAATTAAGTGAGACAATACGTAACTCAGTCATTGACATAACCACAGGATGTCGTGCGTGACGACTATCCACAGATAGTCGAGGATTGCGCGCGCGGAAAGTTGAGGAAACTGTAAACGAAGATTTTAATTTTGATTTATTTATGTAATAACTGATTTAACCTACTGACGATCTTGATATTTATTGACTTGGGAAGATTAAACAAAATAACACTGACTTTTTATTAAAAAAATGAATATAGCCTATAAGGTTCACTATTAATTCATAGAACTTTTAAAAGGCTTAGATGCCATCTACGTACGTTATTTTTAAAACACCATTGTATGACGGCCTTGTTCTGTTAAACGGTTTTCATTCAACTGGCCGAATAAATTACGACTGAGACAAAGTGAAAGTGTACCATAACATTGATATTGATATGACCGATTAACAATCTAGTTCAGTCTAACGATTTATAAAGTGGATGAGTCTAAAATATTTATAGATTCCTAATTATATTCTTTATGTTCGAAAATATGTTTACTATTTATAGATTACCAGTTTGTTAAGTTACATAACTAAATCGTGAAAATTTGATGAAATGGTTCCCATTACAACTTTTTCGAAAATGGAATCGGTCTACTTTAAGTAGACTAATAACAAAATAGTTCGGATAATGGAATTATGTGAACTTGTGCCAGTATAAGATAACTATGTTATTTTTATAGAAAGCTCTTTCGATCTTCTATATCGACTAAAATAAATTTTATTTATTTATGAAGTCTGATCTACCCTTAAAAAGAGTTTAATCGAAATCCGTCCACTAGTTCTCAAGTAAGAGCGATTAGAAAGACAGACAAATATTTTTAAATGTCCCCAGGCACAGAATTTAAAAAAAAAATCACCAAATAATTTAGATGTTTTGTATTAAAATTTAAAGGATAGCAACTAACATTTTAACAAAATTAAATACAAGTTTGTTAAAAACGTTTAACATATAAAGTATTCCAGTTTATAAATGTTCTTACCGATACAAGGAAATAAATTATAAATCACAAGTGGTACAGCTTGAAGGCATGAAGATGTGAAGACACCCCGTTCCGGTAATGAATGAAGTGTAATAACATCATCAATAATGTTTGTATGATGTAAACCTAGTGTTAATAAGGTTGCAGTCCACAAGTTCGTTGATGTCCACCTGTTATTTGAACTTGAGCCGCTAGCGGATTTCCTTATGAGCGTTGAACAAGTGAATGCACCTGACTTGAAACTTGGTCACGCAAAAACGTAACATGAAACACAACTTAGAAGCAGTCTCTTCATTTTATTATTTTCGCGTTTGAATATATTTTACCTAGTAGTTTAAAAAGTATTTGTATTTTTTTTTGTATTTGGATTGAAACATTTTCTTTTCTTGGAGAAGACGTTTTCGAAAAGTTGTGGTAAGTGAAAATTATATGAAATAGATTAACCTTGTCCAAAAATATGAATCAAAAATGTAAGTAAAAATGTGTATGTCCATATGCTACTATCGAACACGTTTAATAGAGAATAGATAGACTATATATTAGTATATGTATATACATAGGTATGATGAGTTTTATAACCCTTACTCGAGAAATAAATGGTTCCCAATAGAAACTTTCATCCCCCTTTTAAGGGATGATTTCCGGGATAAAAACTATCATATGTTCTTCCCAGGGTCTCAAACTATCTTCATACCTCATCTAAATGGGTTCAGCGGATTTTTCGTTTATCCATGACAAACAAACTTACAAACTTTACCGCTTTATAATATAATATAATATTTAAACATTTTTATTAGAATATAAATAAAGTCAATATTTTTTGATGAAACCGCCTTATTTTTGTAAGTTGTCACTGAGTTGCGACGAGACCGGATGCGCGATGATTTTATACAACAGTAAATATGGACGAACACAATGTCATTTCAAAAAAAACTTTTTTATGCTGAAATCAATTGAATAGTTAAGAAAATATTTTTTTTAATGGATAAAAATATATTACTGGCTAATAATCATATTTCTGCTACTGATGGATATTGTATTCGGCTATTTTAGTTTCCTACACTTCAATAATGCATTTTGAAATTATTATTACCATTAAATTACCTGGTAAATTAAGAATTTAATAGGATAAATAAACTAAAATTATTATAATATATGTATTCAGCCCTTCTTAACGTCCCACTGCTGGGCACGGGCCTCCCTTCTATATGAGGGGGATCAGGCCATAGTCCACCACGCTGGCCAAGTGCGGGTTGGCGGAATTCACGTGTCTTTCGAAAACTTGCTAGGTTCTCTCAGACATGCAGGTTTCCTCACGATGTTTTCCTTCACCGTAAGGCAAGTGGTAATCATGTTGAAAATGATTCGCACATGAAAATATCAGAGGTGCGAGACCCGGGATTTGAACCCGCTTCACTCGGTTATCCAAGCAAGCGCGTCACCACTGGGCTACCACTGCCTTTATAATATATATTAAAATAAAAATAATTTATTAGGTTTACCTACTTTAAAGGTGTAAGATCGATTTAAAAAAAATCTATAGAGTTAAAGTACAAGTTATCTATAGTCCTATGAATATGGTTTAGTTTTTAATTACGAAATTGTGAATGGATTCTGAGAGTTCTACAATCTACAATGTAAACATTGATCAGCCGGTTCTTGCAACGCTAGCTAGCGTCCTTTAACCGACCTAGTTCGATAGTCGTGAAGATTAAGGTCATAACTGTATCTAAAGCTACCAACAGAACTTGTTCTCCTACCTTAGATTCAATAACTGAGTATTTATAATATAATTTAGAATAAATTGACATAATGCTGACCTAGTTTACTAACTTTTTGGAGTCAGTAAAAAATATGAACAGAAAAAAAATTCGAGGCACCATTGCTGTCTAAAAATGTTTTTTAAGAATGGGGACTAAGATTAAATGTATTTAAAAAAATATCAATCGAATTGAGAACCTCCTCCTTTTTGAAGTCGGTTAAAATTGTTTTCACCCACAGAATTGGCGCATTTTAGTTGTTCCAAAGATTGCTGTTCACACAATTAAACTTTTACCTTTTCATTATGTTACATTATTATCTACATCATTGTACCATATAAATTGTACACTAAAGTACTAGTATAGTATTATATGACCTGTGCTAAAGTAGAGATCGGTTGAAGCTATTGTATTTAATTATAATGTTTTTTTAGGCTACTGTGTATCAGTATAATATTAGATTGAAAGTAAAATTGTAGTTTTACAACTGTTTAAGTTTGTTACATAAATATATATTTTATTACATAACGATGTAAAGCTATGTCATTTAACCGGTTTTGTAGAGCTTTTAACGTCCTTAATCTAACCTAGTTTGATGACCGTGAAGTTTGAGGTCGAGCTGGATCTGAAATGATGTTGAATGTAAAATCGTGCGTGCGTATTATATAGCAATATTTATACCTATATAAATATAGGCCTATTATCCTAATCATTTGGATTAGCGTTTAATATTTCAATGTTCAGAATTAAAATTATAAGGTAACGTATGGACTTAGTTGTTTAGACTGATCTTGTCTTAGTACTTTAAATGTAATTTTCAGAGATCTATACAATTGTAATTATGAAATTTCTTAAATTCTGCTTTAAAAATATGGTATCGTAACACTTTAATGTGCTTTAAAAAAATTAAATTTTAAAGTTTCAGATTATAGGAATGTACCTACCTTTATTTTTTTAAATAGGCACTTTACTCAGTAGACATGTTTTCATTTAAACACTTCCGTAGAAAGTGGCGGTAAAAGTTACTAGCGAGTTTTTAAAATTACTTACCATTAACCATACCTGTTTCTATTAACTTTTAGCTAATAAATTACCTCGTATTCGTGCAGAAGGGCTAGTATGAGAATAACTAATAAGCCTAAGGTAAATCTAGGTGTATCCTGTTTAGTATACAAACACTTATTCAACATTTTAAAAAAAGTTGTTTCTTTCATTTAGTAATATTATAAATATACCTACATTTTATTTTAAATGTGTTTTATTTATTAACCAAATAGGTAATTTTAAATATTTATATATTTTTTTGATTTTTTTGAAATCATATTGTAAAATTGTACGTAGGCACTGTCTGTAACAAGTTTATAAACCTTTGAGAAGTTTAAAACCTTAGTGATTCCTGTAAATCATTTGAAACGTCGGGAACTAAAAATCAAAATAAATCCGCGAAAAAATTCGAAAAGATAGTTAAATATATAAAATGACAAATATTCACGTGAATCTAATAAAGTATTGTATATATTATTAGCGATTACGTCTTAAAATAAGTATAGATTTCTCAGAAATGAGATATTTTCCCGCAGTAAAAAATATCCTAAATTAAACCCTATCCGGGTTATCCCTACCAGCTATCATAAAATACCAAATTTCATCAAAATCTGTCCAGTGCTTTTCTTGTGATGCATCTTCAGACAGACAGACAAAAACTTTATAAACTATAGATTCGGCTTCTGTATCGAAAATAATGACTATTACAATAAGATTTTCCTAAAATTATGTAATGTACAGATTCGACTTAGTTAGAATTTTATTATATGTATATATTAAGTTATTATTTCTAATAGCTACTGTCCGTCTGTATGTCCGTCTGTACTCTTTGTATGTTTGATTGTAAAGCTTAAGTTTTAAGTATTTAATAGATTGAAAGAAAACTTTATTGATTGAAAAAAACTTAGCTAGAACATTATGTTTTTTTCAGAAGTCAAAAATAATAGTGTAGGTTTGTTTTTGATATAAGTAATTTGTATTTATGAAATGAATGAATGACTAATATCGATTGAGGAAGAATCCTATGACTCAATAATCTATGCACAATAAATCCTAAAATTAGGTTCATTTATCATGCATCGTGCTCTTTGTACAAGGCTAACATCATTATGGAGACTCATTATGAATCAGGATACTCGTAAACATCGAAATACAAATTTATTTTGAAGCAATAATATTATTTTAACACCTTCAGGTAAATTTCTAAGAAATTAATTAAAATTCTAAGAAATCTATTGTTAACAGACACGCCGGCGTGTCCGCGATCGTGGAGGGATTAAACAATATATCTATATCTACTAATATTATAAATAGGCAAAGTTTGTGAGTTTTGAGTTTGTGACGTTATAAGGGGTAATCTCTGGACCTACTAAACCGATTTAGATGAAATTTGGCAAGAAGATAGTTTTGAGACCCTGGGAAGGACACAGGATAGTTTTTATCCCGGAAATCATCCCTTGAGGAGGTAAAAATGGGGATGAAAGTTTGTATGGGGAATATATGAATAATATACTTAGTAAGTAGTTATTATTTGCAAGTCAACTAACAACTAACCCGATAACGGGCCCGACGAATGGTTAAGTTTGATGCGTAGCTTTTTATGTAGGTACCATTTAATTATAATTATCATGGAAACAATGCCCGTGAGAAAAAACAAATATTTGTTCACAATCCACTTACTATTCACATCACTATGAACTTTCTGTACTAAACAGACTTTTTTTTAATTTTAGCGGAAAGTTAAAACTTCTGTTCGTCTGTACTTTCCATACCTACATAGTTCTTTAAAAAATATATACATATATAGCATGTATATTATTAAGTAATTTTTATATACAGGTAAATTAACCAGTGAAGATGATGATACGGCGTCAACCCTACCACCAATACCTCCAAGGATAGCAGAAACATCTAGTCTTGATACGACATCTACTACCCCAGCCCCAACAAGATCTACGCCAACTGCTAAAGATCAAAATGTAAATGTACCAGATGTACAAGTAACTACTGAAATTAACGAATTCACGGAGCCTATCGCGAAACCTAAGCCAAGGTTACTTAATTTAAACGTAGATGAGCTACAAAACTTCGCAAATGTGTTGCATAATCAAACTAAAGGAATCAAAAAAACAATTGACGATCTTAGTGATGTAAATTTGGATGAAGATGTAAATGAACGAGACTATGGACCTGAGAGTGGAAATAAGCAAATACCAGATAAATTTTACTCAAATCTTCAAACACCATTTAATCCATTAATGAATGTTGATAAGTCAGATGAGACTGAAATCTGCAAAGAGAGTGGTGTTACATATAAGGTAAGCCCATTTCAAAGCGTATACTAAAAATTTACAAATATTGAATTGATGTATTTTATTCATACGTCTGTTACATCGATAAAATGTTAAATTAACTGCGCGAAATGATTACTTTATTACAAAAATATGATATTTATTCTTACGCTAAAATTTATGTATATTTACGATGCAATGGAATAATTATGTATCTAATATCAATAAATCTAATCAATCTTCATTGTTCCGTGATATTTTAAAAATAATTGTATGGAACCTGAAAAAAATTCACAGGTCGGGGAGCACATCGACCACGGTTGCGAAGAGTCATGTGAATGTACTCCTGGCGGAGTGTTCGAGTGCTTGCCGAGGTGCAAACATCCTTTCATACGTCGCGGCAGGCGCCTCAATGATCCCCTATGCTTTGAGTCACCGGTGGACGAATGTTGCTCAATCGTCGCTTGCGTTACTGCTAATGGAGGTAATATTTTAAACAGCTTACACATTATACGGTTAATATGGACATCCCACAGGAACCGTACATATGGGATAAAAAGTAACCTATGTGCTCTCTGTGCCAAATTTCATCCAGATCCGTTCAGCCATTCTGGCGTGATTGAGTAACAAACATCCATTCATCCAAACTTTTGTATTTATAATATTTATAGGATTTGAAATATTTGTCTAATTATATGACTTTTACCACATGTATTTTGAGATACCTAACTTTTTATACTTTTTATACTTAACTTTTTAGAATCTGTGTGTGCCTATCTGTCTTATCCTCTTCATACTCTGAATGTAAGTAATTAAACTTTAATGAATATATACGAAAATTAGGTATACCCCCGCCTTATCGCAGAATCGACTAATCTGACAATTTAGAAAAAACATAATTAAATCCAATGATTTTTAAAATTTCCTTACAGTTTCTTTATATACTGAACGTTTATTAACGCCAATTTGAGACACTTGTGAAATTCTCAATTGAAATCATAATTTATATGTATTTATAGCATATAGTTCAAGGTAAATGTTGTACCTGCTGCGTTTATGGTATAGTATTTTCAATATTACAATATAAAAATTTTCCTTGTTTGTGAGAAAACTTACGCATAGCTAAATTCTTTAATTCGAGGAAAAGGTAAGAGTAAAATGATGAATCATTCCATCTTCATGCTCACCCCAGAAAAAGAAGAGAAAAATAATATACGTACATTTCGGACTCTGAGATATCAGAAATTACAATAGAAATTTTGGTTTTTTGCAAGCATAAGATTTATTTAACATGTGTTTTGTAGAAACAAAACCAGCGCCACTGGAGGTGTGTAGTTACGGCAATGAAACTTACACTATGGGTGAAAAGTGGCACATTGGTTGTACCCAGACGTGCTCTTGCGAACGGAATTCAGTCGTCACTTGCAGACCAAGGTGAGTCAATGATGATATAATATTTATAGAAATGGGTGAATCATTACAATACTGTGTTAAAAATTGCACTGACCACAATCTAAATATGGTATAGCTCCTGGTTATCATAATTTTATTAAGCTATTTTTTGCCCGTTGATGGTTTTTATTAGTGTGTGTTTTGTCTCATCTTTTTTGCCGAACAAAATATAATTATTTTGTAATTATAGATGTGACCCATTACCACAGTCGGATAAATGCATAAATGTGCAAGATCCTACAGATGAATGCTGTGAGATGCAAATATGCGACGTGTCACAAGATGCTCATGAAGAACATGAAAATATAACTAATACATCATCTACTACAGAAGTAAGTAGCTTTTTATTATAGGTTTTCCCAGATCAGTTACAACTTGTACTATATACCTACTAGAAAATATATTTTTTTGTTTTTTAAAAGAGCTTAAGTTATTAATTTGTGTTATATTAAATAATTATTATATTTTTGTTTTAGGTACCGCAGAAAACATCAAGTTTAATGTCATTACCTCCCAGGCCACTCGTACTCACGGAACCTATTGGCTCTATCAAAGTGCTGCAGAACAATACCGTTCAAGTTAACCTTATGCATGTCAACAATAGTGATGACCCCATACATCTTTTATTAAGCAGCGATGGCGGAAATACATTCCATGAAATAGAATTGAAATATTCCAATCTAATACTCAATTTGGAAGGTGGTAAAGACTATATTCTAAAGACAAAGGAAACTGGTACTAAATTCAATTTTACAGTAACAGCTTCTGAGGTTGGTAATGAAGTGCCGGTAGAAGAGACTGTAAATGGAAAAGAAGGTTGCTATCACGATGGAAAGTTCTATAATGTCGGTAAGTTTTACTTTAAGAGCAATTTTACATCTGATTTAAATAGGTATATTTATATGGTTATAATATTTATCGTATATACTATAATATTGTAAATACTATAATAGTCAAAAATAATTCAAACTGAATTTTATATTTAAAAAATGAAATAGTCTATCTGAAGTATCTTCACTTTATTTTCATTATTTTATTCGTTATAAAAATTGAGACAATAATCGGTTTAATTATGTTGATGTTGGAATAACCCGAAGAATAACTTAAAAAACAAATTAAAAACACTACGCAGATTTTAAAAAGCTACAATAAATAAAATCCATGCATAAAATAGTCCATTGTCCTTTTGGCTAATGCAAAGAGACGACGTACTGGCGTGATGGTAGTCATAAACAAAAACTGTACCAGGTGACGAGTTCCACATCGGGTGCTCAGAGCTGTGCGAGTGCACGGGCGCGAACACGCGCGAGTGCGCGCCGCTGCAGTGCCCCACGCACGTGGGGCTCGAGCTGGTGTCGCGCGGCTGCGTGCAGTGGGCGCCCAGCCCTCCCGCGCGCCCGCCCGACTGCTGCCCGCGCACTGCGCGCTGCCTGAGCGACGGCACTTGCCATTATAAGGGAGTACCGTAAGTATTTTTTTTATTTTACTTATTTACTAGCGTTTCTTTGCGGTTCCGCCTGTGTTGTTCATTAATTATTACATGTTTATTACTTATGTTACTCTGATGTGTTAGATATATAACTGTATTTTGTCAAAACAAAGAGTAATTTTGTACTTATTGTTTATTTAACTTTTTCTAGTCTTTAAGGACTTTTTCTCTTAACACTTTAATTTCCACAATTTAGTATAATAATATAAGAGAACTTAGTTTATAAATGTGTTATAATAACCTGTGCCTCTCTTGACTTAACAACAAACAACCTAAAAGGATTAGTAATAATAATAAATTACATTTTTATTTCTTGACCCAAATGAACCTAAACATGCCACAGAATACCCAACTGGACAGAAGTGCCGATCTCCCTGACGGGATGCGAAGAGCACTGCTTTTGTGAGAACGGTTCGCTAGACTGCCAGGAGGCGTGTGCACCGCTGCCGGCGCTGCCGCCGCCCTCGCTACGTTGCGCACCTCGCATGCGCCCCGCGCCTGTTAATGCATCGGATGATGACTGCTGCAAAGTATGGGGATGCGTGCCGAGCGGTAAACTATTTTTATTTTATTATTTTAGAGTGCATTACATTTTCTTAGATGCTGCTTACGGTTGCCTTTGAATGGATCACACAAAAAAAATACATTAAGAAACGCGGAGAGTGGGGAGTTCAAAACGGACGGTATATTAATAAACAATAAAATAATACAATATCATTCTGATTATTATTGAAGTATTGTTTTAATAACTATCATTTACAAGTATCAAATCAAAGTCAATTATCATCATTTTATTAATTATAGCTAATTGGAGTATTCATTTTTAAATCATTAAGCATGTTTATCATATCAAAATTGCATGAGTTATCATCATCACGCATTATTGCTTGCAGCTGGCAACATGAACGCAACTTATCAGACCTATACGCCGACACGCTCACAAACTGTGAACTATGTGACACCAATTACACCACTCCCCCCGACTATAAACCCACCTTCCTTTCTTCCCACTCCTCCTACAACTACAAAAGTGACTGAATTTTATGGACGCTATAATCCAATAAAGACAAGCCTGCCCAAATTTTTTAATACCCTAACTAAAAATGATACGACCCAACATTTAGATAATATGTTTCCTCAACACACACTTAGTGGTAATATTACAGTATTTACTCCAGAAGACATTGACGCTCCGTTCAAAATTATTCATCCAGAACCCTCTTTAATGTATAACGCTGTGGACTGGGGATTTCCCATATACCCAAAAGATACCTTGTCATCTAAGCAAAACATTCATAAGACTTCATCCATTTTAACTCACGAAACACATTTACCAAATCCAAAACCGTTCAATATTATTATATCCGATGATAAATTGCACGATATCATTGATGACCCTAAATATGGTGAGGATGGTAAACTGACCACTTTAAATTCTCACGACATCTTTGTCAAACAAATGAATGACAACACAGCTATTAAGAAAATGCTATTGTCCCAGTATCATAAAATAAATTATTTACGCCCTCATACTGATAAATCTGAACTATCTCAAAGCTTTTTCAAACCTGCAAAATCATTTAACTCATCAACTGACCCCTCGGTAGTTATAAACGGTCATCACAACCAAATCATTCACAATCTCCCAGCAAAACGTATTACTGTATTGAAAAATAAAGACTTAAAAATTGGACCAACCGACATAAAAACTACAGCTTGGGCAAAAAATACTGGACACTTACTAGCAAAAGGGCCTAATCCTTATGAAACTGTATTGTTAAAGGCTTTGCCCAAAACGAATAATGGAGATAAGTTTAATTTTGACCCTGCAATGACTATCCCTAGAGTTCCTACCAAAACATATTCGCCCCTCGATCTCGAACACCTTCTCAACCAAATGGAATTAGAGTCGGACACAAATAAAAACCTGGGACGGTCGGCGGATAAGAGCCGCGGTACAATAACGGCAGGTCAGTGACCTTGCCTAAAGTCTTTTTATGGCCTTAATACCTTAATATTTTCGACAGACGTTGACTTTCTTTGGTGACCGACTATTTGCGCTCATAACAGTAATAAACTAACCGCAAATTCATTCCACTCTGCTTTTTCATACTAATAATAAAAATTACTAATCTTATAGATCACAATCGAATTGAAATCTTTTCATCTTTGATTTTATATATTAATGTTAGTACTGTTTTGTAAATTGAAAAAAAGTATGTATTCTTTCTTTCAGGCTAAGTATCTTCTACTTTAGAAACAGCAAATTATAAGTATATTTCTTATTTTATTTGTGACTTAATTCTTATTAGTTGGGGTTTATCGTGTACGTTGTGATAAAATGTTCTTCAATATTTTTACGTTAGTTTGCTAACGTACTAAATAGGTTTGTTGTTTTTCTGTATTTTGTTTACGACTTTTGTAGCAGAATTTTGCATAATACGTTGAATAATTTATAGGCTTCATTTCCTGTCTGCATATATAATTGTGCCTATCTAATTTACGTATCTAAATTAACCTACAAACGAATATAAATATTTCCAAATTACATTACAGGTCAAATGCCACCAGGATTAGCAAATCTCCCACCCCCCACACCACCAACGTTCCTACCTACCATTCCTTCTAACGATCGCTATCCCTCTGAAGATACTGATTACGAACAAAACAACATACATCGCCCAATAAATCCTCTAGAACCTATACCAGGGCTACCTCCAGGTTTGCCGATACCAAATTATGGCGGGGGTGATGATAACAAGAAACTCCAAGTGTTGGCTCTTCAAGGGGATTCACCCACAAGTATAAAGATGTTATTCGGTCTACCGCCAGTACTAGTTGGTCTTCGCGGTAGCGTGGACCTGAGATATACTGACACTGCGTGAGTTGTTTTAGGATTTTGTTATCTAGATATCTTGTTTAGTTATTAAATAAAATGTATAAATCATTTAATACTCATTTATCAAAAAAAAACTCTAATGTTAAATTTACCGTATTTTTTTAACTTAATAGGGACGAAGACATAACGCAATGGTACTCGCAAGTGTTTGCTCCAGCTGACGAGATATTAACGACGCAGCGCTTAGAGTTCAGACTAACCGGTCTAAAACCTTCCACGACGTACAAGATTCGCGGCAAGCTCTTTTTACACAATCTGCCAGTTGAGCCTGAAAGTGAAATATATACTGTACGGACACAAGACTTGCCTACCGTAAGTGCTAGAATAAAAATATATTATCAGTACTGCCATTGCGCATGGCTCCGCCCGCGTTCTGATGACCAAAAACCAAATTCTTAGGTTTTACATATTAGTATAATCTTACATTGCAGTTTTTGTATTTTTTCTCAGAAATGAGATATTTTCCCGCGGTAAAAAGTATCATATATGTTGACCCGCATAACCCGGTTTTTCCATACCAAATTTCATCGTAATCCCTCCAGTGGTTTTTCTGTGATGCGGTAACAGACAGACATGAATTCTAAAAACTATATATTTGGACTCTATATCGATAATAATGTTTATTTCAATAAGATTTTCCAAAAAATATTTAATGTACAGATTCAACTTAGGTACAATTTTATTATATGTATAGATTTATAGAGGTCTGTCATCAAAAGTATGTTAAAATTATTTCAGAGACGCGTTCCTTAAACTCTTTTAAAAATAATTAGTACAAATTTGCTTTAATTTTTCATTATTAGGAAAAGAAGCAGCTAATTTTATGTTACATTATAATCATTCTTAAACAATATAATGCATATTATACCAGCAGTAATGATACTAAATAACCATCACAAAAATTAATAAAAACGATAAGGTGTTTTGATATGTACGACTTTGTTATTCAGATTGCACCCCTCGAAGAAAAACGAAAGCAAATCGATTGCAAGTTAACAGTGGTGGAGGTCAATGACACCAGCGCGTACTTAAGTTGGCGACACTTCACAGAGGAGGAGCTCCAATACATCGACGGTATACAAGTCAGGTGGGTAATAAAGAAGAAATGAAATAATTTAACGATTAAAAACAATAGAAACATTACTGAAGACAAAGATTTTGTTTGTGTTCGGTAAGGTACGCGTACACATAAAAACCAAAACCAAAAAATAAAACATTCTAAATACATGCAAAGGCAAAAAAGAGTAAATGCGGAAAATATATTCTGAAATGACACATCCTCCTGGCCTCCCTTATCGACATGTCTAGCAAGCAAGCAGTATCGAAAGTTTAGAGTACTTATATAATGTAAAAGGAAATATAGAGAATTAATTAGGCCACCTTTGCATCCCTGGTGTATTTTCTCAGTCAAATCTTATAATTATTGAGATACCAAGTGAAGCGGATTCAACTCCCGGGTCTTTCTGATTTTCATGTGCAATTTTTTTTCAAAATGATTACCTACCGCTTTTTTTTCGAAGACGGAAAACATCGAGAGCAAACTTGCATGTGGGAGAGACTCTGGCAAGTTTTCAACCTTGACCAACGATTGACTATGGCCTAATCCCTCTAGTATTAAAGGGAATGTCTGTACTTACCGGCTGTGGGATTGTAAAATGAACTGAATACTTATAAATAAATATACATATAGAATATACATCTACTTATAATAGTACAATAATATTTTCAACAGATACCGGCCAACCGGCACTCCTATCTACAGCACCACCGAGCTGCTGCACCACAGCCGCTCGGGAGCCGCGCTGCCCGACCTGCGCCCGCACTCGCGCTACGAGGCCGCGCTCGTGCTCGCGCCGCCGCCGCACGCGCGCTCTGAACTCTACGACCCGGCGGTGGTAGAGTTCACTACGCTGCCACTTATAGGTGAGTATATCCTCTATATAAGTTATAATGAATATTACTGAATATGTACGCAATGCAAAAAAATATATAAATCTCTTGTAAATCAGAAAAACATGTGAGAATGGAAGTACTGAAGTTATATTCATTTCAATATGTTACTAATATCGATATTTTCAGCGTTTTTTCATCGGATAAATATTAGGAATCTTTAAGAAATGTATATATTTTGAACATGAACACTCCTAATATGTTGCTCTAGCTGAACTCACATCGACAAATAAATTTCAAAATCCACCAGACCCCTACAACTGGACGGTGACAATAACCGCGCACGAGGTGGGCGCCACGTCCGCGCGCATATCGTGGCGAGGCGCGCCGTCGCCGGCGGAGCGCTGGGTGCGCGTGTACCGCGCCGCGCACGCCTGCCGCGAGGAGCGCGACGCATTCAGACTCGCCGCCAGAGATGCACCTGAGGCTATTACACTTAGTGGACTAGAACCGGATTCTAGGTGAATTGGATTGTTTATTCTTATTTATTTCCTACTATTAGGAAAGTAAAAATAATAGATTTGACGACATGTTTGGCTCAGTTTATAGTGACCCTACTTACTGTGCCAGCGGTCGCGGGTTCGAGTCCCACTAGAGGCATTCATTTGTGTGATGAGCACGCATATTTGTACTCCAGTCATGGGTGTTTGTATTTATAATATATAATATGTACATTGTATGTATTTCAAATATAAAAATATGAAATATATTTAACTGCCTCAGTGGTGTAATGGCTAGAGGTCCTGGGTTCGAGTCCCGGGTCGGGATAAGTTTAGTTATTGAGTCTTTCTGTATAGTAAGTCTCAGTAACAGCCCAGAGTTGGGAAGTTGGCGGTGTTTCACCCCCGTGCTTCGGAGAGCACGTAAAGCCGTCGGTCCTGCGCCTTAACTCTCACCGGTCGTGTCGAGTGGTCGTCCCACCGGAGTATGAGAGCGATATGAATAGAGAGTGCACTTGTGTGTGCGCGTACACTTGAGCACTATAATATCTCCTGCGCAGTTGGCTAATCTCAATGAGATTGGCCGCCGTAGCCGGAATCGGCTAGGAGTACATCATTGTATGTATTTAAAGTTATATATGTGTAGTGTATCAACTATCTGGTTTCCATAACATAAGCCTCGTAGTTTACCATGGAACTAGATGGTGCTGTGTCAATGTAAAAAAAATAAATAATCATAGATGAGATAGGCGCAACATCAGCCCGGGCAGCACTAACTGGTCTTAGATTAACAAGAGCTCTGCATTAGACATGACCTCTGTTTTCAGAAAATTTGTGTTGAAAGGAAACTCCTGTGTTTTTAGATCAAACTATAAATTGAAGATTATGAAAAACCTACATAAATTATCTCTATGAACAAACGTTAGTTAAATGTTAAAGGCACTGAAAATTTTTAAAGCTTAATTTTTTTTCTTTAGGGGCATAAAATAAGGATAATTTCTTAAGTCTTTAATTATACATTATTTTTATTTTCAGATGTCGTGTGTGGCTCGAGCTGTTCCTGACGAATGGCAAAGTGAAAACTAGCAACGTCTTGGAGATACATACAAAGCCATTGGACTCAGACGAACCTATCGATAGTGAGTGATGTTATAAAATAATAGCAATGTATTAATTTGTATAAGGTATTATAATTTATAATCACTTTTATTTGAATTACTCTTCAATGAAACCTCGTATAAATCATTTAAGTTTTTGTTTTTTCTTCTATATATCATTAACTTTTTTCGTTCTCTACGAAACAGAGACATTTAATTCAAAATTCTTAGTGAGTCAGGTTAACATTGATTTAATCGTTTTAGTGTTTATACAACATTTTTTCCAATAATTTTTGATCTTTGACATGGTGGAATTTAAAATCACACGCACTGAGCACGCCGTGAGTTTGTGACGTTGTAGGGGGTAATCTCTGGATCTACTGAACCGATTTAGATGAAATTTGGTAAGAAGATAGTTTGTGATCCTGGTAAGGACACAGGATAGTTTTATCCCGGAAAACATCCCTTAAGAGGGTGAAAATGGGGATGAAAATTTGTGGGCGGAATCAAGCTAGAACGAACCCGAGCGAAGCGAGGTGGAGTCGCTAGTAATAATTATATGTATTCCAGATACAATAGAGGCGTCGTCGGTGCGCGCGCGAGGCGACTACTACGGCGCGCTGGTGGCGGTGGGCGCGGTGGCGGCGCTGGCGGCGCTCGTGGCCGCGCTGCTGCTGCTCGTGGTGCTGCGCAGGCACCGCCCGCGCTCCGTCGCTATCACTTGTCAGTACTTAGTTTATGTTATGAATTTGACATATTTTTAATTCAATTCAATTCTTTTATTCAATGGCTCTTAGAAGTACTGTTTGTACAGCATTTACTTTGCCAATGTTGCGTAGAATGGATAAGACACGTTATAGAAGGAATGACTGGTAAAAAAGAGAAAAAGACAGTTCAGACTTAGTGTTTTTTATATGTAATCGGTTACATGTAGATACGGAGCAATTCGTTGTAGACGTATTTATGAGGGGCATTAAGACAATTATTTTCTTGATTAATCAAACAAAAAATGACATGACAGATGTATATAAAGATAAGTTCTTTAATACTACTAGTTCCGGTTTTTGATAATTTTGTAGTGTTTGATTCTTTATGCTTATGCGGTATGCGTGCATACATACTTAAAAGTGTAAATAATAAAAGTTGACAATAATTAATGAAAGATAAAAATTAGAAATAACCATTCATTGATGTTTGCTTATAAATAATTTTTAATCCAAAATATAAATAATGTCGATACTACATAGATGGCAAAAAGATAGAGAACATATAAGTCTATGCAATTTACATTTATCTATATAATATTTATCTTAGTTATTTGTTGAAGAGTATGGCAAAAAAAGAAACGAACTAATCCATAGCGTTACGGAATGGTCGACTGATCAACCAATCATTTGCGAAACTCGCGCTTTTTTTGCTTCGCCCGCAGAGTACAAAAACAAAGTAAATTAAAAATCTATCCAATTAATGCCATTTTAAATTTTTAAGATCAGAGTTATCTATCGTCATTCATCGACATCATAATCTGTTAAATATAAAGCATATATTACATTACCACAACAATGTCTACTTACAGCGGTGCCGTCCGCGCCACGTGAATCCTCGCTGCCGCCGTACGATAACCCCGCCTATAAGCTGGAGTTACAGCAAGAGACCATGAGTACGATACGAAATTGTTATTTTCTTTATTATTATTTGCCTGCGTTTTTTCCGTTAAATTATTATTAGCTACAAAATCTGGAACAAATGCTAGAAAAAGTTTTGTGACGTAAACAGAGAAATCTAAAAGCGCAGCATGAACAATTATCCGGTTACGTTACCGAAACAGACCAACAGAAAAAGAAATACATATATTATGTAAATTGCACATTGAAAAGTATTTAATATTATATCTTACCAAAAACAAAATCCGTATACAAAATAATCTGTTTAAGGAAATTTAGAAATCTTACTTTTCGATCATAATATTAAAACTTAGAAAACGCAAATTAATATTATTCTATAAAATTTCAGATCTCTGACAGTTAAGCTCCCGTGGACACCAGAACGGAGTCAACGGGACAGCAATTACAGAACGACATATGGACACGCAAAATGGCCGACCTTATAACGAAATGGCCGTCTAATAATGTCAAAAATTTATGACAAAGATAATTTATTATACAGCTTTTAATAATATAATACGAATTTAAGGTACTATGTTATCTATTTTGTTAAAATAACTCAGCATTGACTGTATTTTTATAAAATATATTGAACTATTTACAGAGTCTTTGAGCAGAAGAAAATTAAATTAGGTATATGTCTGTCCTTTTTTTATCTTCATTTTAATCTAGTAGACCTTAAAAACTTACAAACGGTGCTTTAAAACAGACTGGAACAATCTATTTCAAAAATATTGAATCTGACATTTAATGTAATAGTAAAAATCAATATCATAATTCAAAATAACAAAGACGTTTTTACGTAAAGTTTAAACAAGTATTGCGATTAATCGTGCCTTATTGCATAATATGTATATAGTGTGGATATTAGGTACTTAGTTATATTTAGTAGGACGTAGACGTAAACTAACTGTAAGACTGCTTGCTGTACACTTTTTGTTCAGAATATTTCACTCATTAAATTGGGTTATTCTATTTTGATGTCTTTGACAAAAAATGGATGTTTTAATTTAAGTTTACCCTAAAGGAGCATTTACTTAGTGTTTTTCGCTTCTAGAGTGTAAAAATTTTGAGTGATGTTAACTGTGTCGCATTTTTTACAACATACGTCACATTTTACTTTCCTCAACTTCGTAAATGAGCTAGTGTTTTAACATTTCACCGACGAATAGGCAAAATATGAATCTAGAATAACCCGTTTGTTTAAAGTTAACGTAGTAGTTACCTAGATGAACAATTTTGATTTAGAAACAATGATATTATAAACTTCTTTTTATAATATAATATCATTGTGTAGGAGTTTTTAAGTTGTTAATAAAACTATTCAATAAAGTTGTTATAATAATTTCTAAGGAATGTTGTTTTATTTATATGACTTAACAGTATTACGGACGAACATAAAACATATATGACCGGTAGACGTAGAGTCATAAAATAGCAGATATGGATAACCAATAGTTCGGTTATAATATCTGAATGCATGATTTATTCATTAATATCTATTCCTACGATGACAGCCAAAATACGTGACATTGAAGGAATAGCAAAACTATCTGAATAAATTCGCGATGCAAAAATGTTGGATGCTGCATCGATGTCAAGAATATCTCTCGCACCTAAGAGGTGCATAATTAATATGGGATTGTCATGTCTGACATCATGACATGACATGTCTTAAGTTATTATCTACCTGGTATTTTTACTATATCCAAGAATAACTGTTAATGTCCGACAATCTACGACAAGAACAGCTTATGGTAAATTACTGTTAGTGAGAAAGGGACAAATGGATTGTAAAATAATATCTATAATATATTAAGTGCACTTAGAAAACTGTTGAATTTAGAAGATTTTACCAACTTAAGGTACTCTTATTTTTTGTGTCGTAGATAAACAAATAATTGTTCTTATTTCGCTTTTATATAGTTCATAATAAATAGGCGATTCTACGAGGTGTAACAGAGTAACAAACTAACTATGTAAACCAAAGTAAGTCACAGTATACTTTCTTAGATTTACGCGAATATTTGACATTTTAAATTAAACTATATTTTCGGACTTTTCTGCGGATTTATTTTGCTAATAAAATTATAAATATTGTTTTTTTTTTATTATTACTCATATCAATATCAAGTTGGAATTTATACGTAATTCGAATGACAATGCGATAATAATTTGGTATCATCAAGTGATGGAACCAGTAGGTGAAAAGTGAAACTCTTGAATGGCTTCTAGTAAAGCTCTCAATTTTTTGCATATTTAGTTGTGAATCTTCTGATAGCAATAATTGCTATGTATAGGTATTGTATTGTATAGGTATCTAATTTTGTTATTGCGTTTTCATTAAACATTTCAACAATAGAGTCTACGCCACGCTTTACCACGTGCGCCAAACGTTTGGCGCAGTTTGTAGTTTGTACTTGCTGTGCGAGCGGTCGCGGGTTCGAGTCCCGCTTGAGGCATTCATTTGTGTGATGAGCACGAATGTTTGTACTCCAGTCATGGCAAAAACATCTAAATTGATTTTTATCAAAATATCTACCCCGCCCGAGGCGGATACTCGGTACCAGCTTAACGTAAGCGAATTGTTTCATCATAGTGGGCGTTTTAACTGAATTAGTTGATGCCTTCGACGCTTGTAGGTAGGCTTTAGGTTCTAAAAATATGCCATTTCCTTAAATAAATTCATTCCAAACATCATAATAAACAATTGATATTTATTTTGATTTTTTTCTTTGCTTTGATTTGTACATATTTGAGTGACACGGCGATGTTTATAATATTCGATATCATAAAAACTAAGTGCAAGGTAAGATATAGATACTTACTTCTTTTCTTTTTTGAACTTGAACTGAAAAGAAATTTGTTTATAAGAGAGCTCAGTATGCACAGGGAAAGGATGAGCGATTACAAAAACTTTGTTTAATTCATATACAACACCAAATCACATTATATTTTCTATAATAGTAATACATAATAGATTTCTTTTTATATGATTTCGCTTACACTATGCATTGTGTCTATTTGTAATAAAACTACTGTTTATGCCCGTTACAAAACTATAATTATGCTATTCGGTTATATTAGAACAAACTAAAACACATGAATATTTATACTTTTAACTTTAATAATATTCATTTAAGAAAATATATAAACAGCCAATTCGTAGTTCGTATGGGCCCGAAAAGGTTTTATATATCCATTACTTACGACAACGATAATTATATTTCTATTATACTCTGCAACTTTAAACTAGAATTTTTCGCAGAACTTACGACATAGATAGGGTAAGTGCTGCGTAAAACTGTTCAAATGGCCTTTCATTAGCTGGGGTAATAAAGGTCATTTGAAGTGAATACTATAGAGTTCAACATATTAACTATAAAAAAATATAAAACGCTATGTATACAGATATAGTATAAATAAAACGATTTTTTTTTAATTATAAATTATGATGTAAAAAAATCTACGTCTTTAATCTAATAAACAATAAATCTTGCTCAACTTCTCGTTCTATTATAATATAACTTTAGGTGATATAATAACCCATTTTTAAATTATCAAACTGCAAAATTTTATCCTCTGATATGTTTCAATATGATCAATATGTGTTTATATTAAGAATTATAAAGAAGATGAACAAAATCTATGTATTGTGAACAAAAAATAGACGATATATTTGTGTGAACGTGTATAAAGTATAAATGCAACTACGACTAGAAAAAATATATTAAATACTTCATTTAAACTTTGTCCCAAATATAGGTCCAAATACAATTTTATATGTATGTACTTAAGAAACAAAACTTTTATATTAATGTTAGTAAAATCATCTTTACTAGGTAAATTATAATAAATGGCCATTGCATAAAACAAATTGCAAGAAAATTTTATTTTGTCAATATAAATAGTTTACAATTCATAAATACATAAATAATGACATAATTTCCTCAGACTAAAAAATATATAGACGGAGTCCACCAAAATAAATGTCAAAGTCAAAAATAATAGCGTGATTTGCTACTATTCTCAATTTTGCTAACCAGATCGTTTATTTTCTTTTAAGAACAAGGGAAATTTTGTGTATAATTTTACATGTGTATTAGTTAAATTCATATACAATTTTTGAGAATAAAATATGAATAATAATAATACTATATTCTTTCGTATTTTTTAAATATTAGTTCGTTAATTAATATTTTATCTTTATTATAATAAAATCCGTTAACTATTTATATTTATTAATTATTAATATTTATTTCCTTAACACTTGTCATTTGTATTCTATTTAAAAAGATATATTATTTTTAAACATTATTGTTTGGCTTCATGGTCTATGATACTCTGTCTATATTGTTCCTTAGTCTGAGGTACATTTCATACATGGCCCCTGCACAATACACTTGGCAGTAAGTTAACTACAAATACAAATCAATACATAATGATAATAAGGTCTATACACACTATGCTAATAAATGTGCGGGAATATGTAATATTAAATTTTTATCATTTGTTATTTCCTTTTATAAACGTATGGCAACTCTAAATTCGCTCACAGTCGTAGAAAAAATCTAATTCCGAATATCGAAAAATTTCTAAATTATTTGAGTGAGTAATTTTATAAGATTTCAAACGATAGAATAGAATGTATAGATCTTAAAGAAAACAATAATACACTTTACATGTTACTTATACATTCATACCTATATTTGCTGGCATAATTGTTTTAATTGGAGTTTAGCATATTTTGATACAATAATGATTAAACGTATATTTTATATGGAAGAAGTTTATTTACTACAAATATCAGTTCTAGCATTCAAAGGTCTAGAAATGAAAGGATTTCAGATAGGACACGAGTTAAGCAAGCCATGAACGCTAAATTAATAAATAATAAAATATTGGAGCTGTCTGAAGAGGACAATCTTATAAAGTGTAAAGTAATCGCTAAACATAAATTAAATGACCTATAGGACATACTGGCTTTAATGTTTTGATTTTAAACGAAAATCCCAAATAAAATAAGATCAATCCTTCAAATATTGTTTATCGTTAAAACCAGATACACTGTAAATAATTTCAGTATGACGAATACTTTAGTTATTCCTACAAAAATAATATAACTATACACGAGGTAAGTTCGTTAATAATAATGAATAGAACATTTATGATGATTACGAAATTTTAGCGACAATACAATGTCTTTGTAAGCGGTGACTACGCGTTCGACTGTCGACACATGTTACACAAACGGTAATAAGCCAGCATATTTTAAAACCCCCTTATAAATTATGACGATCCCTTTAAAACCCCTTGGTAGTTTTATGATTGGCCATAAAATGGCTATAAAAATAAATGTAAATTATGGAGTAATGATGCTACTATTTCGTATTACTTTGAAGATATCAATCACTTTTTTCCATATATTTCATAATATGGTTATGGCATTCATCTCATGTTAGTCATGAAAAGATGCTTGTGATAATAATTTTAATAATAATAAAATTATAAAATAATAATCTAAGTCGTTTCTCAATTCAAGTTTTCGAATCTCATGTTATTTTACTCAACATATGATAGATTAACAAACTTCCTTCATCTTCGCTTTGGAGACTAAACGATTACAGCTTAAAGTTATGCTCGCATACCTATAGCTCCTATTCTAGTTATAATAAAAAAAAATATAAAGTTTATATGAATGCGGTGTCGAAAAATGAAAACAATAGATGGTGTTTTGAAAAGTTGCAAACAGTTGCCAATACAAAAGTCTTTTGTTCTATGGAATCCCTCCCACCTTATGTATGAACTTTTCCAACAATTGCAAATTAAAGTATAAATTAAGGCTTCTCTCCTTTAGAACCAATCCCGAGGCCATCAACCCAAATGAAATTTTATTTATTTAAAAACAAATTAACAAAATAGGCTAGAAACAAAAAAAATAATGATTTTCGTGAGCGTGGGGTGAAGTAGCAGTATAATGGTTATCGTAGTTATTCGCGTGCCTTCTTGACACAACATTTATATATTTGAACAGATAAGAAATCCAATAATTTCCATAAGACTATGGGTGAATAGCGAGTTACTAAAGGTTCTAGTAATCAACATAGTTATCCTCATACGCTTTCTTGACGATGGCAAGTTTGGAGTGCGAATCCCGTTATAGCGTGAGCGTGTAGCAGTGTCTAGTCAACGTAGTTGTCCTCGTGTCGACTTAACAAACAACATGTATCTATTAAAACTGGGTAAAAACAAAACGAAATCCGACATATCCGTGAGCAGGTAAGAAATCCAATAATTTCGGTGAACGTATGTATGGGCAGGGTGTACCTATCGGGTCTAGTGGTCGACGGAGTTGTCCTCGTGCGCCTTCTTGACGACGGCGAGCTTGGAGTGCGGGTCCTGCGGCTGTAGCTGCGCGTAGGGCGGCGCGCGCGTGCCGTGCAGCACCAGCGCCCAGCCGCGCAGCCAGCCCGCCGTGCCGCCGTCGCTAGAGAACCGCGCCTGCCACCAAATCAAATCAATATATCGTATTGTATTCTGCCCTTTTTAACGTCCCACCGCCGGGCACGAGCCTCCCTTCAATACGAGGGGAATCAGGCCACAGTCCACCACGCTGGGCAAATGCGGGTTGGCGGACTTCACATCTCTTTCGAAAACTTGCTAGGTTTTTTTCAGACATGCAGATTCAATCAAAATGTACTTCATTCAAATAGACTTTTGCAAGCTCTTTTGAATCGTCAATTTTACATTTTAAATTTAAATTAAATGTCGGTGTAGTCAGTCCGTGAGGAATCTACCACAGGCTCGGAAAGCAGTTCTGTTGAGAAGAACAGGCGAGAAACTCAACAGTTGCTCTTTTAAAACAATAATTGTGTACAATATTGTAATACAATAATTATCTATTTGTCCTACGTGAGACCCGACCAGACATTAGTTCCACACGTTGATATCTACGAAGTATTCCGTGACAGTATAATAAGCCTTATTCGACCACCCAGAGATAGATCGAACGCGGAATTAACAGCCTCATGTACCTTCAAGACGCATTCCTTCATTTTCTGACTCTTAAGTTCTTCCTTCAGTAATTGAAGCTTTGCGTTATCGGTTATTATATAGTAAGGTTTTATACTTTTTCAAAAATAATATATTTTCTATTTAGGTGCTCTATTTTATTCTATGTTGTCATTTTAAAGGATATTAAAAAAAAAATTTAAATAAAATTTACCTCCAATGTCCAAGTTCCTTGAGGATACTCGCCCCACGTGTGCGTCGTCATGAAGGGCCACTTCGTAAAACCATCTCTACTGTCATCATCATTGGCGCGTCTGCTCAGTATCATTGATCTGTAATCAATTGTAATATGCCTATAAGAAATAATTTCAATGGTAGTACAGCCACATAAATCTATAGGTACATACATATAATAAAATTCTGAGTCTATTCTGTACATTAAATATATTTTTTTAAATTTTATTGAAATAGTCATTATTATCGATACAGAGGCCGAATCTTTTTTCTTCTTAGAGTTTTTGTCTGTCTGTCAGTCTGTGACCGCATCATAAGAAAACCATTGGACAGATTTTGATGGGATGATAATAGCTAGTAATTATAATAAAAATATATTCCCATCATCGATTGCAAACCAAATTTTCACTTATTATTGTACAAGTCATATCTGTTTTCGATAGCTAATATGGATGTTAAAGTATGAAATGTTCACCAAATGAGAAATATTCAAATTGCGATCTTTAGCATAGAAATCGAATCATCTGATTAGTAATTATAATATTATCTATACTTATAACTTTAACTGCCTCGGTGGTGTAGTGGCTAGCATGTACGGCTGCACACCCGGAGGTCCTGGGTTTGAGTCCCGGGTCGGGTCAAGTTTAGTTATTAAGTCTTTCTCTATAGTAAGTCTCAGTAATAGCCCGGAGTTGGGAAGTTGGCGGTGTTTCACCCCCGTGCCTCGGAGAGCACGTAAAGCCGTCGGTCCTACGCCTTAACTCTCACCGGTCGTGTCGAGTGGTCGTCCCACCGGAGTATGAGAGTGATAGGAATAGAGAGTGCCCTTGTGTGTGCGCGTACACTTGAGCACTATAATATCTCCTGCACAGTTGGCTAATCTCAATAAGATTGTTCGCCGTGGCCGGAATCGGTTAGGAGAACATCACTTATAATAAAATTCTGAGTCGAATCTGTACATTAAATACTTTTTGTAAAATCTTATTGAAAATTGTCATAATTATCCATACAGAAGCCGAATCTATAGTTTTTAGATTATTTTCTCTCCGTCTGTCTGTCTGTGAACAAATCACGAGAAAACCACTGGACAGATTTTGATGAAATCTGGTATGATGATAGCTGGTTATCCGGGTTAACATGTAGGAAACTTTTTACTTCGGGAAAATATCTCGCCTCTGAGAAATCTATATTAAACGTTAAAACGTAACAAGGGAAGAACCCGAGCAGAGCGAGGGTGAGTCGTTAGTATACTTATATAGATATATAATATACGTTACGGTAATATACTAATATAGTTATATACTCGTAGGTATGTTGGTAATATACTAATATATAATCGGAGAAGCGATTGCAAGGTAAAGCGTGTGAATATTATTTAATATGGCTTCAAACTCTCAAGGATCATTAATTTATTTACTACAGCGTAAGTAAATTACTTAACTTAGCATGCAAATAATTATTATATAATAGCATTCAAGTGTTTTTATTTGTTGCAGGATTATATCAACTGTAGACGTTTATTGTTGATGCCCGCTTACACCTGGCTGCGAAGAGGTTGCGGCCAAATGCGCAACGGCAGCTATCATTTTTCAAGATCTCTACGTATAGTTCTGTGAAGTGGAGTATAATTCATTGTAATAACAAATGCATCGTTTTTATTCCAAAAAGTCAACTAATATATAGTTAATTAAACATACTAGCGGGTACATTTGGATAGGCACCCCGGTCAAAATATATTGTCCCTTTTATTATTGTATATGAAAAATTGATTTCGATTAAATGCGCTATGAACGTAGCAATTTTGCAGTGGGATCTCGATCCATTAAAATAATACAAATATGAAATATACTTATAAATTCATTATTAAAATAAGAAAATAGATAAATTTACTTCTTGTAGAAGCGTTCATTATTGAACTATAATTAACTTAGTATTTTGTAAGAAATATGAAATTTATAAAAGGAAAAATCTTTAAATTTTGTTCTGGAAGGGCTCTTAATTACTATTAATTACTTGCTTAAAACACGACCTCAATCACAAGCTTTATCAACACTATAATCTCTTTATGCAAATGATATAAATATTTTTTTACATACTTATTTTTGCGTTCGACAAAATGAGTATCGGGCTTACATTAAATATTACATATTTTAATCTAGTTTTAACTAAATTACAAATCGTACCTATACCTACCTAAGTAAAACAAAACAAAGTATTTTGTTTAGTGACAAAGACTCCCACTCATTTCATTTTTAATTTTCACATACCTACTTCAAATATAATTATAATTAAAATAATAATGTAATATCTAAGTAGATAACAATACGTAGTACCTACTTTATTTCCCTTTCAGATTATTTTCAATTTTGATCCGTACTATAAATTTTTCTATAGATATATTTATTTTCTTAATTGTATTGGTGTAGTAGATTGTACTTAACTGGCGTACCAGAAAGCCATAAAACAATTGAATTAATAGCTGATGGTGTTTTATCGTTTATTTAACGAATAATATTTATAAATATTCATCAGAAGTGAACTAAATTGTTACAGCAGTTTCCGTTGTCTTACGTCTCCAGGTCTCCTATTGTAAAATACCTACATCTTAAAAAATGCCAGATAAAGTATTTCTATAAAAAAAAATAAAAAAAATGTAAATGAGATCAGTGGTTATTAAATTTTATTTAATGTATTTTCTGTTTTAGTAAAGAAATGTAGTAGTAGGAAATACTTACATATTATATCTTTTTACTTTTAATATTTAACTGAAGAGTTTGTTTGTTTTTTGTTTGTGTAAACGCGCTAATCTCTGGATTTACTGGTCCAATTGAAAAAAATTATAGATTATTTATTAAGGAAGGTTATAGGCTATCTTACGTCACTACGACCTACGAGAACGGCATAATTCTACTAAATTAAAAGACGCGGGCGGAACCTTAAGAAAACGCTTGTATCTATGTGGTGCGATGATTGTGAGGTGATTGTGAGTGTAAGTTTATGAGGTTGTAGGGGGTAATCTCTGGATCTACCGAACTGATTTAGATGAAATTTGGTAAAAAGGTAGTTCGAGACCCTGAAAAGGACATAGGATACTTTTCATCACAGAAATCATCCTTTAAGGGGTTGAAAATGGGGATGAAAGTTTGTATTGGGCAAGCTAGGGACGACCCCGTGCGAAGCGAGGGTGAGTCCCTAGTACTATACAAAGACCAAAATAAATATATAAAAGGAGACATATAAAAGCATGTCGCACCTGGTGCCCATGGGGCTGGTGAGGAAGAGCTCGAGGTCGCCGCGGCGCGAGGCGTTGGCGCTGACCACGGCCTGCACGTGCTCCAGGTAGCGCACCTCGCTGGCCGAGCCCGCGCACGCGCCGCTCTCTATGCGCAGCGTCACGCTGCCCTGCCGGGGGATCTCACTGGGGAAGCACTTATATTTTAAACATATATTAGAAATAGCCCAAACTGTTTAGGTTTAAAAGGAAATTTTTTAAAGATTTATTTACACCAAAGACACTTCACAGTTTGAGACTAGAAATAATGAACATATATACAGCTAGTAGACTTATTTTTTCTTAAAATATTTAGTTAGTCGATCATTCTCATTTCCCACAATCAGTCGTAGTTAAGTACTTACGCGCTGATCTCAATGCGTAGGGACCTTTTGCTTCCTAGGGAGATGCTTTTATTTTAAACATGATATTATCCCCAAGCTGTTTTACCATTTCAAAATTATGAGACTAAAATAAATATTTCTAATTTAGTAAACCATTCAAGAGTTTCTTGCGTGTCAATTATCAAATGCCTATCCATCAAAATACTTTTCATCCAGTAGCTACATACATATATGGATATAACTTCATATCCTCTACTATATAATAACTTACGTGTGGGTATTAACAGAGCCGGCCTCGCAGTGGTAGCGCGGCGGCACGGAGCGCCAGTTGGCCGCGAGCGCGGTCATGGCGCCCGCGTCCAGCACACCGAACCCGAACAGGTGGTTGAACTCCAACCCTACACCATTCATCGTCCAGTGGAAACGACCCTGATGTGTTCAAATTTAAGAAATATGTATCAATACTATAACCAGCGCTGTCAATTGGCGGGTAAATTACCCGAAAAGCGGGTAATTTTAGGCGATTTTTGATGGCGAGTAATTTTGACGGGTATTTTAATAGAGAGCAGGTATTTTAATTTAACTGATGAATTTGATATTTTAAGTTTTTTTTATGTTTGATTTAATATTTTAAGACTGTTTAATTAAGCACTGATTACAATGACATCTTTTTCTAACATTAGTACCTGTCTAACATTAGTAGTCTGCTCATGGTTGGCGCCGGCGGGATATACCGGGTAGTTTGAAGTTTATTGGTCGTGTAAATCAACGACTGTTATCTGGCAGCTTTGACTATAACAGCGATTTACTCTAGTTCCGCTCGGATGCGTCCCTACGTGTCTAACAATCTATGTGTTATCAGCACCATGTACTAAATTTCTTCAAAATCTATCCAGCCGTTTCAACGTGAAGGAATAACAAATTCATATACATACACACAACACACACATACAAACTTTCGTATTTATAATAGTAGTCCCGAATATATAGAAATTGTTGTAAATTTAATTTAAGAGCTACCCTCCATTGATGTAACTAAGTAACTATTTCAATTCAAAATCATGAAATACCGACTTAGCGTCACTCATAAATAGCTATTATATAAGTTATAACAATGTAGGTACCTAATATAATAAATATTATTTATAATGGTGAATCCGTACAAGTACTATTCATAGGATATCTTTTCTAGTCCATATTTAAGACAGACAGCTGCTCATGTGAAGGTCGAGGTCGATCGAAAATATATAGAGGTTATACACATAATACAATATACAGTACATATTATATGTATATTTATTTATGACATTATCTTTTGTGAATAACAATATTTTAGGCAATAACAATATAATTCTGAAGAGAAGCTGCGAAACTGATCTCAGTATTGGATAATGAGTAGTCATATAAAATAACCCATGGGCTATAGAGTAGAATAAGCGTCTAATATTAATTGAGGCTTATTAAGGGCACTTTAGTCTATAGCAATAATCGTCTTATCATAGTTATCAGTCGGTATGTTTGTAAAAGCTCGTTACACGTCACTGTCTGTATTGTTATTGTTGAAAACCGTATTAAACATTAAATATTAATCATTGAACGAGTTACGTACATAGGTGCAAATAAAATATTTATATTATAACTCGTGCGTCAGACTCAGTTTTATTAGAATGAGTAGGTAGTATGCTATTTTGCGTTAATAGAATGAGTTGTGAAATTGTGATAGACGACCCCTCTTTGTCACAGAATAATAAAAATTCATTTGGAAGTCAATTAATTTCCATTACTTTCGTTTTATTAAGAAATTCAATAAAAATGAAAAAATCATACTAATTGGCGACTTGTAGCAAGCAGCAATAGAGATAATTGTGATTTGTGATTGTTCGCGATTTCCTCTCTAATTAATTGATTTCGCTTGATTTAATTAACTCTAGCATTTTGAATATTTGAAACTATATTATTTCCCATCCCTTAATTACCTAATAAATAAACACATAAAAGCAACTAGTATTATTTATTCTACATCTATAACGCTAATCTATACATATAAGAAAACTGTAACTTATCGAAATCTGTACATGAAATATTTTTTTAAAAACAATGACTGTAACGTAGTATGTACAGAATATAACCCCAAAACAATAGCTATATAAAAAAATATTTGCTTGTATGTATGTCTGTATGTCTGTTGTCTGTTGTCTGTTTGTTTGTATGAGCTTCGCGCAAAAAGTGCTGGACGGGTACGGGCGGGGTGACGGTTTCCACGTGAAAACAAAATAACTGGTTCGATTCATCTTTAGAAATTGACATGGCTAACGCTGGTGTTAGGTTTAACAGTCCGCAATTTCAAGCATGCGTCTATCTCCTAATGTACACTCGGTATATCTATTTACATTTAAAAGGCGAGTCACTAATATAAAATAATAAATAATATAGGACTTTTATGCATTTTTAATGATACATATAAAAAGAAATAAATTAAAAAAAAGATTGTTTAAAAAGTTTGGATGAATACTCACTTTAGCGTCATACAGAGAGTTCCTCTTCGAGGTTAATACTGTCAAATGTTGAATATCACGCCAAGTAAGATTTGGGCTGAAAAAATATAAATATTAAATACCGGTTCATTTAGTGACACTCGTTTATTTTTTCATTATTACTCATTTTGTTAATGAATTATTGACAGATAAAAATTGTTTTTTTTTTATTATTATATTTACTTAATATATTAATATTTTTTTTACTATACTTACATAAAAAATGAAATAATATAGTAAAATTTTCTAAATAGAAATATACGTACATACATATATAGTTAAAATTATCTACAGTATAATTATTGCTACATTATGAGTACCTACCCAATATGATCATTAAGCTCATGTCATGGATACAATAATCATTAACTCGATATTAGTAACCAGAGAGCCCATTATTAGCTGAGGGTGTGGCAAATAGTAGCACGAATATTTTTCTTTTATGGGATAATTTGATATGTTATGGGAATTTATATTATCAGAATAACTTGTACCTATAATTAACACGTTTTTTTGAAATATCGCAAATGAATTATTATTTCTTAACGCTTCGTTGATTTTCCGCTGTATATTAATGAAAACTGCTAAGATTGAGCACTTTTATTTTACTTTCCACATTTTGAGGATACTTACATAAGGAGGCAAAGTTAAATCAGATCATGAATTACTTTTATTAATCAAATTTCTAAACGATGTCTGATTCCCATATTACGCAGCTTTTTTGTGGCCCGACTGCTGACGTCAAGATTTATAAGGTTAATACTTCCATTAAATAATAATTTCATGAAAATAAAATTTTGTGTTTCGAGAAAGAATTTTCGATTTTGAATATGACATCCAAAGGTGGTTTTCTAAAATCTATATCTTTTATAAACAGGTATCTCAATAGAAGATAGTAGAAAATACGATATGTACCTATGTATGTATGTGTAATTACGTAAAACAACTGAATTACTGTACGACTAATTTCTCGATCGTGTAATTTTCCGTTTTGGTAGCCAAAATCCGTCGACCAGAATCTAGATCTATTAAAACTATAGATAGCTATTTAAAGCTATTGGCATTTAAATCTTTACCGTTTAAAATCCATCAGATCGACGACCCTTAAAATTTTTTTGCCGCATATATGCCAAAATTGTGTACATATGAATACTTATACTTTGTGAAATAGTATTTATGTAAATAAATGTTGTATATAACTTATACGTTGGTGTTCGTATTCAATAAATAAATTAAAAATATGTCTTTGTATTTTGTCCTAACCATAAGACTGGAATTGTGTATGGAAATATTATAATTAGCCCTATAGGTATTATACTAAACTGTACTTGCCCTATATTATATTCTACTGATTATTCTGATGTTATCCTTTTGACTGATTTTGGCCACGGCGTTCAAATTTCGATTTCAATAAGACTGAGACGCAATAAGCACTCTATTCCCGTCACTCGCATATTTCTGTTAGACGACAATTAGACATGATCAGTGAGAGATCAGGCGCAGGACCGAGGGCTATACGTGCTCTCCGAAGTACAGGGGTGAAACACCGCAAACTTGCCAACTCTGATCTGTTACTGAGACTTTTTTAACAGAAAGACTTTATAACTAAACTTGTAGCGACCCGAGACTTGAACATAGGACCTCTACTACTAGAATAAAAGACCTGTGATTTCTATCAAATTTACTTCTTGTGTTACTTTTGAAAGAAATATTATTTGATACTAGCGGTTCACCCCCACTTCGCTTGGGTTCGCCTTTAGGAAAACAAAAACAAACCTATCCCACGGGAACCGTTCATTTTTCCGGGATAAAAGTAACCTATGTGTTATTCCAGACTATAATCTATTTCTGTGCCTTTCATCCAGATCCGTTCAACCATCCTAGCGTGAAAAAGTAACAAACATCCATACTCACAAACTGTCACATTTATAATATTAGCATAGACTATTTATTTTAGGTCTTATTTTTTATAAATTATTTTACAAAAATACACTTACTTTTACTCACAACGTTTTTAAAATAATTTTGGTATTTTTGACACGTCTTTTGCTGCAAAACAACCTAAATTACTAAGTTCTATCATTAAGATTGGCGGTTTTCTTGTTCTTACCGGAGTTCAAACAAACAAAAACACAAACTCTTCAGCTTTACATATTATTAATCTAAACTACGTAGATATAAACTTACTTTATAATATCTACTACTTTTCAATATCAAAATATAGGTAATTAAGCAATTTATTAATTTGAATATGAATAGACCCCTTAATGCTTTTTATAACTAAATTTAGCGTCGCAAATTAATAATTTTAGACAAAATTTTATCAAAGCTGTTTCAATGGAATAGCACTATTGTTTAGTAATATTTAGTATGAGAGACTCTAAATGCCTTATTCCAACTTGTTACTTTAACGAGAAACAAAAGATTTTACTCCTGGCAGAACTCAAGTCGATAAGGCCTTTAAACCACGTTTCGTCGCTACCGTCAGAAGTTTTGTAGGCAATAACTAATTCTTTGAAATTGCTTTCTTCGAGTCAAGAGTCCTGTGTACGGAATGATGCTTAAAATATAAGTTGAACTATTTTAAATGGCTTTAAAAATGTAAAGTTTATTGTTCCATTAATGAAAAAAAAGTAAGGAAAAAAGGGATAATTTAAAATTTAAATCTATACTAATATTATAAAGAGGTAAAGTTTGTGAGGTTGTAGGGGGTAATCTCTGGATCTACTGAACCGATTTCGATGAAATTTGTGTGGAATCACATAGGATACTTTTTATTCCGGGAATCATCCCTTAAGGGGGTGAAAAAGGGGGGTTTTGTATAGGGAATCAACCTAACGTAACGAAACGAACCTGAGCGAAGCGAGGGCGAGTCGCTAGAAGTTAAATAATTTGATTATATTCTATTAATCTAAAATTGATTATATTCTTTTATTATATTCTATTAATGAACTTATAAGGGAAGTTTTTTCATCCAAGTTAATAATAAACATGAAGCACTTTTAATTTATTATTATGTATCCATAATACGCTAGTAAAGTTATGAGAACGTTAAAAATAAAAGCCCCAAGATAGCCTCCTGTAACACGAACATGATTCTAATTAATTATTCTTGTTCACTTCTAACCTACTCGTCCATACACGGTTATACTCATACTTATATTATACAATGCCGAAAAACTTCGTTATATCGGAAACTGTTTGTTTTACTTTCAAGTAACTTTTCAAAGGTCTGTTTATCTTTCGTCAGGATATTTCAAAAACTAAGCATTCCAAGATTAGCTCTGGAAGTCTTGCGTCAGACATTGGTCCAACATGTGTAGGCCTTTAAATAAAAATTACATACGACGTATTATCCTGGATTTATCTCCGAGTCATAGGAATTTGCTCAAATATGGTGACAGATAATGCTTAGGATCAATGGAAAATATAACATGGAAAGCTATATAGAACTATGGATTGATTGACCTAAAACTATAAACGTCTGCTTTCTCAAAAGCCACACTTTAAGCATCTGACTTATTCCCACAAATATGCTGAGCTGTCTCAAATTGGCATAATTCCTCAGTCGCAACACAAGAGTGTCGCGAGGAGCATTAGGCCCGTTTTATAAGTGCGTTGCCTGGTTATTTGTCAGAATGAGAATTGTCATCGTTTCGAGCACTTAGTTCTTGCTCTCCTCTCTGAACGGCCAAGGCAATGAATACAAATCAAGCTCGAAGATGTAAGTCATGCGCTTAAAGACCCCAGATCTATGGAATCGCCACTTATAAGTGAAGTTATCATTTACCAATAGCTCATCAAAAGCTGATATATACAAAACAATTTTAATCTAGAGATTGGCAATATTTCTAAGCTCTGTTTGTGTATTTTTTATCAAAAATTGTTTATAGGTTGTCTCATGTCTGTAGAGTTGTAATGTATTGCTTTAATAATTCATTGACATTGAAGTGACGTACTTGGAAGTTGTTTTTCCCTTTTAGTTCTATATCTACATTATAAATATTATACATATGTATGTAAATAGAAATGAAATGCTGATAGTTGATAAGCGCATCGTTCCAGAACGGCTGATTTGGAAAAATTGTTTTATTAGTTGTTTTTAATATGAGGTGTTTTAGAAAAAAAACTTGTCCAGAAAATTGGTAAACTGGGAAAATCATTTATACACATAAATTGCAACATATAAACATTATTATATATAACATCCTTCGTCCTTGATTGAAAATATTTCGCGACTCACGTCTTATTACTTATTAGGTTTATTAATTCCTCAAATAATAAATTTCAATCATTAATATAAATATAATAATTTTCGACCGAGCTTCACTCGAAATTTTTCGATATAATATAAAAATTGCGTTTTTTCTGAAAAAACATCTACGCAAAGACAAACTTAAAAAGCAAAACCTTATCTCAATACAAAATTTGCTCCAAATCGTTACAGCCGTTTTCGAGACACAAAAAAAATTAATACATACACAAGAATTGCTCGTTTAATATAATAACTTACTTGGCATGCAAAGCGAGAGCAAACACACCGGCGGCTTCGGGTGCGGCCGCGGACGTCCCCGAGTGCGTGGCGGTGCACTTCCCGTACAGGTCGGTGGTGGCGACGCCCGTGCTGGGGTCGCGCGCGCCGTTACTGAATGTACTGGCGAGTGTAGACGAGCACGATTCGTCGTAGTGCGCGTTTTGACCATCGTTTATTGCACTACACACATATAATTAGCTATAGGGAAATTATTTTTTAGGAGTTTGTGTTAAATACTGCAATGTGCTTCCTAATTTATAGAATATGATGATTTTTAGATTGATAATAATAGTAGTGGTTAGGACCAGGGCTGCCAGATCGTATAATTGGATACGAAAATTGAAAAATTTGTTCATTTTATGTATATTTCATTCTAAGTTATTAGTTATTACGTATTTTTATTGAAACTTTTTATTCGTTACAGACTATTACTCAACAGTTTTTTTAACTTGTATAATAAAATTTGATTTGGTATAATTTGCGTGACCCAGCGGTATAAAATAAGTTGGCTCTACTGGCAACAGTTGTCTCCACTGGCAGCCCTGGTAAGGACAGTGTATAATCTATGGTAAGGACATTTCGTCAGTTTCTATAGGTACATAAATAAGTTGGTAGGTATTTAGAAATCAAATACGCGACAGCTTGGAACTTAATTCATATCCATCAAATGACTAAACCAAACTACCATTTAGCAAAATAATTTGAGAGACATGTTGATTATAATTGTAATTAGTGTACGCTATCGTGTAGGTACGTACGTATAGTTGTATTAAAAAGTCTTGTATTATTTCTAATAGGTACTTAATCATATAAAATATTCATTTTTGTTTTTATTTTACTATCAAATGAACTAAAAAAGACTAAGTACAATACAATCACCTGTTAATTGAAACGGTCCACATCGACGCTGCGTAGCCGTCACAGTTACAATCGTCATCTTCGCCGCCGTCGCCACTTGCCCACACGTAGATATTCCCCAGACCGTTACGCCCCTACAAATAAAGTTAAACTTTAAAACTTATCAATGAATCTATTCAAGTGTTGTTCGAAGTTTTACTGAAAGTTTTCATGAAGAGATAGAAAAACAAATGTACTTCTTCTCAATTAAACTTTATCTAGTAAATTATTATTTAAGTACATTTATTAAAGTAATAGTGGTAATTACATAATCATTACTCTAATATTTTTTTTGATATTTTTATATAATAAATACCAAATCTCACAACAAAACTGTTCAGGACCCGTGATGAATACACAGAACACCTAAGTAGCAGAAAGCACATAGCCAATATAAATATGTACCTAAAGCGGTATTCGAACCTTCTACCTCTGACATGAAAATATATAATATACTACTCATCATAGTAAAACTTAGCAGAAAAAACATCAAATTTTCATTCGCTTATCATACTGTACAAATAAATGAAACAGAAATACATCTGAGCCACAACAGCCTATGGCACATTATACCCGAAAATATTTTCAAGTATTGTAAAATTCTCAGGGGAAATTTGTTATTTCCCAAAGTTATGATGAGACTTCACTCTCGGGAACTATGTCGTAACGATGTTTTCGTTTACATTTTGTTACATAAACTGTTACTTAGACTCGGAGCAATTAGGAAGGTGGTTTGGAAGTAATTACAAATGATTGAATTGAATTAGCTAATTCTGAAATTAATGAAGTTGTTTTTGCATTTGGTATTTATGTTATAAAAATCTACGTGTTCATGTCGAGCAAACATATTATGTACGTATACTGTATATAAATTTATTCTTCGTATAAAAATATGTATAATATTTGAAATTGCAAGTTTAAATGTTTAACATCTTATAAGATGTTAAATATTACATGTATAACGGAATAGAGAGAGAGAGTATTTATAGCGACAAGTATTTTAGTAGCTAAATGCCATTGTAAGAGCGGAAGCTGCCTTACATCACTACAGAGAATGTTATTTTGAAGCTATAACCTTATTTAATTATAGCGTGCATGAGACGTATAATTATAGCGTAATTCTTCGTATTAAATTACAGAATGTAGAGTTTACAATTTACGTATTAATATTATAATGAAGACGTGTTTGACGCAGTGACCGTGTGCAGATAATACATGATAATCCGAAACTTACAAAGTTGATTCCGTTTTAGGATATCTTAAACGGAACACCACCCGGACATGGTCCCAGTTTTTGTTTGATATTATATGTCAATGAACAAAAAAGTTTATTGCAGGAAGTAAATAGTAATACCGCTGATATATACACAATATTATACAAAATACAGTTAAAATAATTGTAGTTAATACCTTCATACAAAACTACAATTAAAATACCTCATTCATTAATATTTTATTAATAATAATCGTACTTATCGCATTTTGATGATCACAGATTTTCGGATTTTTTCGCGGATTTATTTTAATTTTTGTTTCCCGACGTTTCGAATGCTTTACAGTGCTTCTAACCGCGCACTATTCCGTATTTGAACCAAAAAGCTGGCCAATATTCAATAATACAAAAACTTGAATTCATAAATAAAAAAGGTACCTGGTTAAGCAGATAAGTCAGGTACCTGTACATCGCCTTTGTTTGTCCTTATCTTGGCAAACTTTCGGCCACCAGTCGTCATTAGACTGCTTTCGTGTACTGACTAAATATTACGTTTTCATAGTACGATATTTTTCGGGTTTTTATAAATATTTAATTGATTTTGTGGAGATAATTGTGGTGCTTTCCATAATGGATGATGTTGAGCCAGGTATGTGGTACTATTATATTTCATTATATTAGAAATATATACTCACATAAGATGTAAAAATAATATTATTTGAAGTGTACTTAATATTTACTTATATTTTTGAGTTTAAAATGTTTATGAGCATATTATTAGTAATACAAGCGGGCAATATGCGGTTATAATTTTGAGTTTTTTGATATCCCCAGAGACTCGCCTTAGTAACCAATTAAAAAAACCCTCCCAGAATTTGCTCGTTCTAAAATAGAACTTAATCTTTTTGAAATAGCATATAACCAAAACCACGTAAAGTCTTTTTTTTTACTTGTTTTAGGGCCATCTGGTGTTAAGATAGTGACATGTTTGGAGATATTTAATATGCTTTAAAACATAGGGAGCGAAATTATGCCGATAAATTGGATTCAGTAAAAGTCAGCATCCTTGCAAATCCTTCATTCCCAAATGAATGTAAAGCTGATTTTATACGAAAATTTTCCTATTTCAAGAAAGATTTGACAAACCTGGATGAATAAGATTCAAACTGAACGCTGAAGATTAAATTTTATTTAAAAAAATCAGTACAACTTTGAGTTGATATATTTCTTTTAATTCAGTTTTGTATAAAATATATCTCGTAGTTTTAAAATCAAGTGCCCATATTAATATAAAACTTCTTGAAACTCAACATCGATTTTTGTTATAATAACTATGTAAAAAGGACTGTTTGACATATCAAGTTATGACTTTTACAGCTGGTGCTAAAGACTCGAAAATAAAACCAATTTGCGTTTTTGTGTTACTAAAATACATCTCCTAAACTACTTGAAGGATTTCGCTGCATTTTCGCTAATATTTTGTAGAGTTTCTTGAGGAAAGTTCATATGTAATAAGTAAATAAATTCATAGAAAATTTAACCCATAAGAAAACATCAATGAATACAAAACGACAGTAAATACGTTAAAATTAGTAATATATCAATATTTATGACCAAAAAATATAATATTTTTCTATATAATAGCATTCTATAAGCAACTTAGTAGGAAAATACTATAAAATAATTTTGGCCAGCTTTTTCGATCAAATACTCCATAGTGTGGCGTATTTGTTTAGAGATTTCCAGCCCGTACTGGTTCATAGAATACTTTTTTAAATTTACGCGAATATTTGATTTTTTTAACCGACTTCCAAAAACGAGGAGGTTCTCAATTCGTCGGAATCTTTTTTTTTATGTATGTTCACTAATTACTCGAAGACTACTGAACCGATTTGGAAATTTATTGTTTTGTTTGAAAGGGTATACTTCCCAGGGGTGGTCCCATATAAATTTTATCGAAATCGGTCGAGCGGTTTTTAAAAAAATCAACAATAAATATATTTTTTAAACAAATTGTTTAATCGAATATGTTATTAAAAAGTTTCTTCCTACAAATTACAGACAATATTTTAAGATGTGAATATCTAATAGGTAAATATGTATTTAACGTATCAAAATATATTAGATTTCCTATGCGTCGGCTGGCACCGACTTCGAAAATATCTGATTAGGTATCTATTCTAAATGAAAACCCCCGTTTAGTTATTTTTTACATTTTAGTGCCTGGAAGTCGGTTTTTTTCAGTTTTTATAAATAAAACTATCTTTTCGGAAGTCATGGGTCACGGAAGAGACTAACTGTCCGCGACCATGATTGCTGTAAAGCATTCGAAACGTCGGGAACCAAAAAATCCAAACAAATCTGCGAAAAAATCCGAAATGATGGTTATATTTAAAATGTCAAATATTCGCGTAAATCAAATATCTTTATTATAATCTGAGTTAAAATATAAAATGGAAAATGAAGTACAAGTTCATAATTTTTAATTTGTTCTTCAAAACATATATATTTACACAAATACTGAAAATTAAATCATTCAATAAATTTCAAATACATATCTCATTTGGAATTACTAGGTAAACAGGAACCGAATTTTTCCGGCAACTGTACGCTCACCCAATAGCAAGGGTCGTTACTTGCAGGAAATCTAAAATCGATTTGATTTCGAAGCTCTTACAGTTATAAAAACTTTTTAACAAAAAAATAAAAACCGACTTCAAACAAAAGCACTAAAAAGTAAAAAATAACTGATTGGTAGTTTTCATTTACTATACATACCTAATCAAATATTTTCGAAGTCGGTGTGCTTTGCTTTGTATGGGCTGGCACCGATTTCGAAAATATTTGATTAGGTATGTATTTAATAGGTAGGCTTTAATTACTTAGCCAAAGAAAAAAATCATGAATTTAACCTACTCTTATAACCAACATACAAGTTTATAGAATTATTAGCGACTCACCCTCGCTTCGCTCGGGTTCGTCCCTAGCTTGCTTCTCAATACAAACTTTCATCCCCATTTTCACCCCCTTAAGGGATGACTTCTAAAATAAAAAGTATCCTATGTCTTTTTAAGGATCTGAAACTATCTTCTTACCAAATATCATCTAAATCGGTTCAGTAGATCCAGGGATTACCCCCTACAACGTCAAAAACTCACTAACTATACCTCTTTATAATTATAATCTTTATATATATAATTCTTCTGTGAGTGTGTATGTCACTGAACTTCTCTCAAACGACTGGACCGATTTTGATGAAATTTTTTGTGTGTGTTCAAGGGGATCTGGGAATGGTTTAGATTCACAATTTGAATAATAATTTTCATCAAAAAAATTATTAAAAAAAGTTTGAAATTTTCAAATTAAAGACGTGTAGACAGGACAACGTCTGTCGGGTCAGCTAGTATTAGTATAGATCGTAAATTTGTTTTTTTTATACTTTTTTTTATTGTAAATTATAATTTATCTTAAAAAAAGTTATAGGTAGTAATAATATTAGTCCCGCTGAGTTTATTTCGTCAGTTCTTCTCAAGTCTGAGGTTTCTTCTTTCCGAACTGGTGGTAGACACATGACGTTCAGTAAAAAATTGTAATAATTTAATGCTGAATAAAATATTTTGAATTTTTTAAAAAAAGCGGTTTTTAAAAAAATCACCAATAAATATATTTTTTAAACAAATTGTTTAATCGAATATGTTATTAAAAAGTTTCTTCCTACAAATTACAGACAATATTTTAAGATGTGAATATCTAATAGGTAAATATGTATACCTCTTTATAATTATAATCTTTATATATATAATTCTTCTGTGAGTGTGTATGTCACTGAACTTCTCTCAAACGACTGGACCGATTTTGATGAAATTTTTTGTGTGTGTTCAAGGGGATCTGGGAATGGTTTAGATTCACAATTTGAATAATAATTTTCATCAAAAAAATTATTAAAAAAAGTTTGAAATTTTCAAATTAAAGACGTGTAGACAGGACAACGTCTGTCGGGTCAGCTAGTATTAGTATAGATCGTAAATTTGCTTTTTTTATACTTTTTTTTATTGTAAATTATAATTTATCTTAAAAAAAGTTATAGGTAGTAATAATATTAGTCCCGCTGAGTTTATTTCGTCAGTTCTTCTCAAGTCTGAGGTTTCTTCTTTCCGAACTGGTGGTAGACACATGACGTTCAGTAAAAAATTGTAATAATTTAATGCTGAATAAAATATTTTGAATTTGAATCTAATCTATTTTGTTAATGGTTGATTGATTGTTGGTAACACTCTGTTTATATTACGAATGGACAACAATGGGAAGAAAAAATAAGTTTTTCACTTAGGATAAGTATGCGTGATCAGACCACGTGTTTTTATAAAGTATTTATTGGATTTAATATACCCATTGTATACAAAAACGGTGCGGTAGATAAACGGACTATACTGAGAACTCAATTTCCTTATACAAACACTACACCCTCTTCTCCACATAAAAGCATTTAGATGGAAATAGATTCATATTCAGGCATAACAGGGTAACGGCTATTATTAGATGTCTTTCGCATACAAGCATACATTGAAGTTTATGCATTGTTAAACTGGATTTGCTACTATCTTTGATATTCTAAGCCATATATACTTTTCCATATTTCAGCACTTGTTACGCTGTGCACGTTGCTTGTGAAATTTCTGATAAAGCTTAGAAAGCTCTAAAAATTTAATTATTATATTTATGCTATTTTCTAGGGTTTCAATTTGAAATTAATATCAAATACTTAGGGTTGTGGTCACTTAGGGTTTAGCACACGACGACTTTTAAAAACAAAAAAACTTTTGAAAGGAAAGTTATATAAAAATAATTCGTGTTTTAAAGTTAGAAATATCGTCCTTACTTCTCATGAAACCCTAACAACATAACGTGCGTAGGATTGTACGTTAGTAAGTTTTGTTTTGCTGTTTATACCATACCATTAAAATATATTCATTACCCCACGAGAATGTGTATTGAACGCAATAAAAAATAGTTAATTGGTATCTTTATTAGTTGAGGCACAAATGACATAATTACTACTACTAGGTTTAAATATCAGAACGAAACAAAGGGAAACTCACTAGCGTTAAATTATAAAATATACATGTTATAAAATAATTTTAAAACCATCATGATCAGTCTGTTCTATATTAGCTATTTCTGCAAAAAAATATCATTAGTAATACCAATAATAATATTGTTCAACTTCCACGGTTAAGCAACATTTTATTGTTGTTTTACAAATTAAAAAGGCTATGCATAATTTTTAAAGCTATTTAAACTCAGCGAAATCATTTCGTTTTAATTGCGTATAAAAGTACATTCCTTTTATTATAATAATTCATAACAAATAACATTTAACATTTACTAATTATATATTTAAAACAACATAAGTTAATGTCGAAGTCGTTAAATAATATGCGAGCAATTCATGTTATTGTTTGTTTCATCTGACTTTACGCTTCAATTATGAAAGATAATTTATGCATTGTAATAACAATAAAATAAAAAATATGAAATATTTTAACTTTTTCTACCATGACTTCGCTTTATGAGAATATTCAAAACAAAAAATACAAAAATATCACAAACAAAAGTCTTCATGTCTAATCGCAATGAGGATTTTTTTTGTGAAAAAAATAGTGAAATAACAATCTAATACATTGATAAAACAATAATATTATATTACTGTACAATCCAATTCGATTAATTAAATTTAAAAGTAAACAAATTACAAACGTTTTAATATGGAAGTCATGTTTTTACTGCCTCGGTGGTGTAGTGGCTAGCATGTACGGCTGCACACCCGGAGGTCCTGGGTTCGAGTCCCGGGTCGGGCCAAGTTATTGAGTCTTTCTGCATAGTAAGCCTCAGTAACAGCCCGGAGTTGGGAAGTTGGCGGTGTTTCACCCCCGTGTCTCGGAGAGCACGTAAAGCCGTCAGTCCTGTGCCTTAACTCTCACCGGTCGTGTCTCGTGTCGTCCCACCGGAGTATGTGAGTAACAGGAATAGAGAGTGCACTTGTGTCTATATCGTGCACTATAATATCTCCTGCACAGTTGGCTAGTCTTAATGAGACTGGCCGCCATGGCCGGAATCGGTCAGGAAGACATCATCAATTATCATCATCATGTTTTTAGTTATTTTTCAAAGCAAGGTTATTTTATTAAAATTAACGTGTAATAAATACCTATATAGTATATACATACATATGTAGGTTGGGTTATTGAATGTTGATATAAATGAAAATAATTAAACTTTTATACACTAGATTGCTTAAATAAATTACTATTTGAAAACTTTTCGAAGTATGTACTTGAAAGTTGAAACATTATCTTCGATATCTAAACCAATACATTATTGGAATTCCTCGGCTTAAAGGGCTATATTTTCTCGGTCGCAAATACATTCCAACAACTTTATATCTATAGTGAGAATTATTTGTATTAGACTCGAAGTCCTACAATGTTGAGTAAAAAATTATGTGGCAAAATGAATTTGTTCGGAAAGTTCTGTCTAGACTTACAGAATAGGCATTTATAAGTTTTCTTAGTAAAAGAAAAGTTTATGGAAAAGTTTAATAATATTGGCTTTTAAGTAACATGATTTAAGCATACCTCATTTACTCCTCTAACGATAGCTCTCATCGTAGCATTTCTGGGGCCATCAACAGTCCGTCCGTCATCCGTGGGACCCCAAGACGCGCTGTAGATATGAATCTTATGAGGCTCGTGCCCCATAGAATTGGCCTCGATAAGATCTGTCATATACGGCTGATCCAGCATTCTTATACCTGTTTAAATACATGTAAAACTATATTTATATTGCTTTTAAGTATAATTTATAATTATCGGATAGATAGATACCATGCTGAAGGTTTAAACTCAAAATTAGCACGTTATAGATATTAAGTAGCAGTTAGTAAATTTACAACCCAGTGGTAACGCGCTCGCTTGGGAAACCGAGTGAAGCGGATTTGTATCCCGGGTCTCGTTCGTACCTTTGATATTTTCATATTCGAATTATTTCCAACATGATTACCACTCGCCTTACGGTGAAAGAAAACATCGTGAGGAAACCTACATGTCTGAGATAACCTAACAAGTTTTTGATAGAATGTGAAGTCTGCCAACCTGCACTTGGCCAACCTGGTGAACTATGGCCTGGTCTTCCTCGTATTGATGGGAAGCCGTGCCCAGGAGTGGGAAGTTAAAAAGGGCTGAATACATACAAGTATTCATATTGTAGGTACTTATTTTGCATTAAGTGTATCTAATAATTATCTATGTCCAAAATTGAAATTTGCTATTTAATTTAAAAGCGAAAAAAATCACTATACTGTTACACATTAAATCAAAATAAAGGTTTATATTGAAAAAAATATATTTGGTATGAAATTATGATGTTAGGTACAAATATTTATTATAATTAAAATGGAATTTAAATACTATGACAAAGATAAAGAAAGTTTAATACCTTCCTACCTCATAATAATAGATACATAATATATAAAACAATGTTATTATATTAGGCGGTCAACAAAGTAACTGATAATATAATTATTAGTTAATTAGGTACTTTGTTGACAAATAATTTTGAAAAATAATATAAATATTTTAGTGGAAAGGAACAAATGAAACGTGTAAAATGAGACCTCTTAGTAATAATTTAATATCTCTCGCATAGATATTAATGACGAGCTTACAGAAGACGTCATCACATGGGTTTCCCATTACCCGATTAGAGAATGAATAATGAATGGATATAGCTATCTTATCGACGCCTGTTTCCCACCAAATGTCATTTTAGATGAATCGTATCCAAAATAACTTTACAGAGGACTGAATTAAGGTGAGTGAAGTATCATTATTTTTCCTTTGAATAAATCCTAAGGAAAGTAGCATTAGGATATATGACTCAAACTATGTGCTGATAGCTAAATTTTATGTACACATTGGCATAAGTACTTATATTATTATTTATTATATACATATAGAGTTTAGATTTAACCTTAATCTACTAATGAACAAAAAGTAATTAAATATAACAAAATATATTAAAAGTTTTCCAATGTAACTAGTAAATATCTCGAATAATATAGTGGCTGAAACTTAGTTGGTTTCATCTTAGTTCTCTACAAGAGCAAGAGCAAAGCTATTGTACTTGGAAAGCACAACTAATTTCATTTGCCATCTAAATTAGGTCATGATTTTCATTTCTCAACTCTAGAGATAAATAAAAGTTTAATTAAAATTGATAGTGTGACTTAATAAATTATTTATAGAAAAAATCTTTTAAGTTTCTGTATTTTTTTTTACATTTTCTTCAAAAAATACTTTTAACTTCTCTATCTTTATAACTTAAATCTACAACAAGAAAGGACTACAGTAATCATTTATAATTTATCGCTTATTTGAAAGCCGCAAAGCCGTCAGTGGGTCAATCCCCAACGCCGCAACGTGGCCACAAAGCTCTCAAAGATTTATATTTAGTACGCAAAATTTGTTTTGAAAAAGATGAAAGATTACAGAGAACAATAGGTACAGAATAATTTTATTCATTCTCTGTAATTCATAAAATTAGTGGGGTTACTAATTATACGTATAAATATGTTGGGACATTCACACACAGCACTATAGTCCTATGGTAAGCTACGAGGCTTGTGTTATGGATACCAGATAGTTGTTACGCTACACATATGTATAAAACTTTAAATACATAATATTATTAATATGACTGGCTATGATTCGTGCTCATCACGCAAATGAATGCCCCCAGCGGGACTCGAACCCGCGACCGCTGGCACAGCAAGTAGGATCAATAAAAACTGAGCCAAACGTGTCATCAATGTGTATATACCAATTACAATTAGATGATGTTGATCTACACAAATATATAACTAACCGAGCCGAAATCAAACTCTCAAATGAATGAATAAAATGGATTTGTGTAACTCGATTTCAGATACACCTCGTCATATGATGTGACTCTAACTTATTCTTATTAGAACTCCTAGGATAAATAAATACACCTCCAGGTAAATTTCTAAGAAATTAATTAAATTTCTAAGAAATCTATTGTGAACTGTAACGCCAGCGTGTCCGCGGTCGTTGAGGGAATAAAAGATTTTATGAACTCTTTGTACGTAACAAAGGTAAAAGAGATAGCTGCCTATTGTGGACGTACGTGAATACAAACATAATATTTAAATAGATAAAGTCCGTCATTCGTCTGGATATTTTACACGTTCTTTATAAAACCTTATTGCAATAAGCGATACTATCTATACTAATATTATAAAGAGGTAAAGTTTGTGAGTTCGAGTTTGTAAGTTTGTGAGTTTGTGACGTTGTAGGGGGGTAATCTCTGGATCTACGGCACCGATTTAGATGAAATTTAGTAAGAAGATAGTTTGAAGCCCTGGGAAAGACAACTTTTTATCCCGGAAATCATCCCTTAAGGGGGTGAAATTGGGGATGAAAGTTTGTATTGGGAAGCAAGCTAGGGACGAACCCGAGCGAAGCGAGGGTAAGTCGCTAGTCAATATATGTATATAAATAATAATATTCTTTTATATAGTGTTGTGATAAAAAAAACACTTCAAAGTTCTATGTATTTTATTCGAAGGAACAAAAATGAAACATTATTTGTTTTAAAACATTCTAACATGTAACAAGTGGTATATTTCGTTATATTTGAAAACCATCTTTACTACTATATCTTATAATTATTATTTATGAAGATATATAACTTTGCTTATATAAATAGCTCATGTGTCACAACAAGCTCGTAAATCTTACGTAATATATATTCAAAACTTTCTGAAAATAACATGTATACATAATAAGAGCAGCTACTAAACTGTACTTTATATTCATTGAATAATCTGAATCTGAATGATGTAACCTATAAAATATACCTACCTAGAAAAACGTATTAACATATATGTAAATCAATACTATTAAGAAAATTACTAATATTTAAGTAGAATCCTAGTACCTAAAATATATTTTTAAATTCTGTCAAAGTATTTTAAGTTTTTAACCAACAGATTTAAAACCCCATACTAATATTTATTCGAATATGATGATTAAAACGAACATACAAATATACGGAAAAAAAGCAAGTTAGTAATTAAAAGAGTACTAAAATAATGCCTACGATTTATCACAATGATATTGTGTCTCTTTAGGGTTTTGTTTGAAACATTTCATCTTTCTCAAATTACTAAGCAACAAAACATTCTCATTCCGTTTAAAGAATACGTGAGTGATGCAAATATTTGTACATGTATGAGCACGTTAGATTGTTAGATTGGAGCGTCAATTTACCAAAAGGGGTAAACTTCTATAGGGATTTTGTGTCAAACAAAAATCCCTTTTAAATAACGGAGCCTATTCCACAAGAATAAAGAGTACTCTTTATTTATCTTTTTATTATAATAGTTTCATGTATATAATTTATCTATACAAAATCGTGCTATATGTACTTATATGTAACTAGCGACTCACCCTCGCTTCTCTCGGGTTCTTCCCTAGCTTGCTTCTCAATACAAACTTTCATCCACATTTTCATCCCCTTTAGGGATGATTTCCGGGATTAAAAGTATCCTATGTCCTTTCCCCAGGATCTTAAATTATCTTCTTACCAAATTTCATCCAAATCGGTTCAGTAGATTCAGAGATTACCCCCTACAACGTCACAAACTCACAAACTTTACCTCTTTAAATTATTAGTATAGATTATAAAAATCGATTAGAATTTCGAATGTACTGTTTATTTATATGTATATAAAATCAAAAAAGCGTTATCTATGAATTACATGTAGGTTTTGAAATAATCTTTATCTTTCGCTCATTACCGTATTGGCTAAAGCATATTAAGAGACTATCTTTTGGAGACAGATTCAGATGATTGTGATACATGCTGTTTTCTGCGTTTACTAAAATTAATACATGAGCTACTAAAACTAATAGGTACATGAGCGGAACCAAGGGCGAAGCTAGACGAAATACTAGTTTCTTATTCGCTCGTTTACAATATTTTACTAACATCATAGCTGTCAAATTGCTTGCGATAAAACGAGATCTTGGTAAACTTCCATAAGGCAATTTGAATTAAACTAGTGGGTTATTAAGCTTTAGCTTACGACATACTCAAAACATTAATATTGAAATACTTCCGGTATGGACAAAGTTGTATATCATAAAAATCTATAATATATGCTCCGTATTAGGTACCTATACATAGGATATATTGTATATACGTTATACATATAAAACTCTAATGAAGTAGTAAAAATCTAATCACAAATAAATTAAAAGCTTATCAACAACTTATCCTGATAATTTATCAAAGATAATTTATCAAATACGTCAAAACAACTACGTGACTCGTATCCTAGATTTTTACAGAGTTAACTCATTATAGTTATTATTAACCTACCTAAACATAACCTAAACATTTTATATGTCAAAATAAAATAGGTATAATATCACTTTTTTTTCTTGGCTGGAAACTTTTAAAAGCTTTTTCACAGATTTGAAACAGACGCAAGTTAATCCGTTTGAACTATGACCTTGAAGTTTAGTGACGTTTTTCTCGTACAAAGGGCAAACGATTAACAAAAAATACTTGGTATTTAAATAATGTAAAACAAACAACGTGCTTGTGAGACTTTGTTGAATGAATGTAACGAACGTGCTTGAAGATGTTAAATTGTTTTTTTTTAATAAAAACGTGAATGTTTTTTTTTGTTTACCATTATTTCATAAGTGTAGATGACGTAAAACGAAACAAAAAAGTTTAACAAAGCACCTTATAACGATTTAAATTAATTACTAGTACCTAGTAGGTATTAAGCTTTAGCTAAAAACTGCTCTACAGAATATAAACAGAACATAAAACACAAATGGTCTAAAAATATCGGCCTGCACTACATTTACGTTCACTTAAAGAAATTGGTTCCTCAAACTGGTTGTAAAGTTAATATGCAAATTAGTTCTTTTAAATGCACATTTAATGTATATAAATAAAAATTGATCACTGAAATGTATGCACGCGCATAACTTCGGATCAACTTTATCAAATTGGATAACTCTTTTTATTTGTTTTTGTTATTGTCAGGAAGTTTTGTAAAGAAGAAAATTAAAAGAAAAATTAGTTTTTACTAAAATAAGATTTTTTTAAATGTCATGATGGGAAAATTGAGTAAAAGAAATAGTTTTTACCCCGGAAATCATCCCTTAAGGGGGTGAGAATGGGTATGAAAGTTTGTATGGGAAAGCAAGCCAGGGATGAACCCGAGCAAATCGAGGGTGTGTCGCTAGTATACATATAAAGAGAAGAAGAAGAAAAGAAAGAACTAAGCTAAATATACTTGTATATAAGCTATATACGAGTATGTGTAAAGCTTATATACGAGTGTATTAATTATTTAAAAGCTATTATTAGTTGCTGTGATATTTGTTAATATGGGTATAGGTCTTCGAAAACCCCAAATCGGCTGTTGTTGTCTGTCGGTTAGTAAATTACTACTCACTTTGTAATATAAATTACTTTCTCTTAAGCTTTGTAAAGCGGGGTCTTTTCCCTCGCTACACGGAGCTTGTGTTAATGGGCGCTAATCTGAGAAAATACTCTACGGAATTTTCGTAAAAGTGTTCACTAAAAGGAAGACGAATTCACTAAAATTCATATTAAACATGCCAAATACAGTTTGTTTTGTAAGGATCATTTTGCGAAAATAAAAAACCGGTACGATGATATTTATGAATGAAGTCGGAAAAGATCGTCATCTGAGAGCTATTAGGTAGTATAAATATTACCAATGTTATAACGTAGATATATTATAATTAATGCGAATTGAATCTAGGCACGTGGGTTGGTAGTCAATAAAAAAGATTTTAATAAATAGAGATGAGCTACTCTCATCTCTATTTATTAAAATCTTTTATACTTGTTACAGGCTAACTAAAAAAATAGTGGGTAGGCACTGTCTGTAACAAGTATATGTATGTGTTTAAGACGTCTAAAACCTTAGTCTCTCCCGTGACCATGATTGCTTTAAAGCATTCGAAACGTCGGGAACCAAAAATCAAAATAAATCCGCGAAATACTCCGAAAAGATAGTTTTATTTAAAATACGAAATATAAATTTAATTTATTAATGTAGATATTTTTACTTACCCGCTACCTTAGAATGGTATGCGACACCGACCCCGCACACTCCATTATCGCGGGCGGCCGCCACTTCACCCGCGCATCGCGTGCCATGACTACAATTTAAAACATTTAATTTAGTATTAAGTACAATCAGCAATATACAAGTACTTAGTTTTTTCTAATTGAAATTAAATTCGGAAAGCGGACTACTTAGTCCGATTTCATGTTTGTCACTCCTTCATGTCCACTAAACGGATTTTCATAAAATTTACATTATTATATATACTGTACATAAGTTATTTGGAGTGAGTAGTGACACATAGGCTACCTTTAGAGTTTAGGCATCTAAGGCCGCACTTGAGCGTAGCGAGGGTAATTCTTCTTCACATAACGTATAACTTGTAATTATAGTCAAAAACTAAGTAATAACCCGAATTATATTATCTTCACGCTCAAAATAAAAAGGAAATTTGAGTTTTTATGTTATTTATATAGATATCTTAAACTATTCAAAAATCCATAAAAAGGCCCATAGTCCAAATTTAGACAGGGTGGTGGACTATGGCCTTATCCCCCTTGTATTGAAGGTGGGATGCTAAAAAGCATAAATACAAACAAACAAACAAACAAACAAACAAACAAACAAACAAACAAACAAACAAACAAACAAACAAACAAACAAACAAACAAACATACAATTAAAAGTAATGATTTGCGAAATATGAGCAAAATTATTATTAGAACATGTAAGTAATTGCTAAAGTATGAGGAGGGCTTAAAAACTAATTTCGGCTGAACGTTACCTAAACGAAATTCCAATTAAGTCAGCTAGAGAGTTTGTACTGAAGACAAATTCGAAATGGATTGACAACTATTTGGAATTACAAAACCTTTGAAATACTAGCCATTTAGTAAATACATTTAGTATTATAGATCTTGCGTTGTTCCTTTTAAGTGCAAATATTAGTTTTTTTACAAGTAACATAGTTCCCATGGCTTTCATAAAGAAAAAACTATTACTCAGCAATAATTAACAAAATTTTCAAACAAACAAATACAATACTTTCGTTATTACTCAAGAGGCCTAAAGGGGCATAAATGTTTAACTATACATAATTACTTAGATTTCTGTAAAGTTTAACATTTTACGAAAAAAACTGATTTGATGATATACGAGTATGTATGTATATATTGCAACAACAAATCCAAAAAAAACAGGTCTCCATTAATAATTGCACAGTACTATTATCTTTTCTCCGATTACAATTAATAAATTAGAATAATGAGTACAGGTCTTTCAAACGTCAAAATATGGAAATATAAATAATAGTATGTCGTTTCCCCTTTTATTTTTCTTCTATTTATGGTAACTCTTAAATCTGAAAGCGATGACAATTTACAAGTTAATGGTCTACATAATAAACAATTATAAGTACAGGAGCGATATCGTGAATGACTAATAAAATTGAGTTTTATTTGTGTTATTTCGAACGAAATAGATGGGGATAAGCGTTAAATATTTTAATAGGTATACAAAGTTTCCCAAAGTATTTAATTACACGTTTAATTCATTCATATGAATATAAAGTTAAATAATAGTTTCGTTACTACTAAAACACTACACGAGATGTAGGGGAATGAGGGGGGAAACCGGATAGGGGGTGAAAACAGATAGTTCCTATTTCATTGCTCCACGTACAGCTGTCTCATTCTAGCTAGTGGAGAAATACGCGCGAACGCTTACTCAGTGCGGTTGCAAATCGCGGCGACGGTATCATCTCGGCGCGTGAGTCTTTATAACGAAATTTAAAAACAAGGGTAAGTTATCTAATATTTAATTTTTTTTTAAGTGTTATCATTAAACTTAGCTGTGTGCTATCATATACAGTTGTATTTTTTAAGAAGTAATACATATTTAACCTTTTAAAACGGTATTGGTTGTTGCTGTGATTGTAAACATAACCTGTTAGTTATTACAATTTCAAACATGGTACTTGTGGGGTACAAGCGGACGGGGTGAATTCGGCTACCCGGTTTCACCCCGATCGATTTTATATGTAGGTATTGTGGGTGTTTGTTTTAAATCCTCTTTTTAATGACTATTTATTTTATACAGAGTGCGAGCGACAACATGCCACGAACATATGTGAAAAAGTCAGATAAGTTGCAATGGTCGGAGTCAGACATGCTTTTAGCCCTAAATTCGGTGATAGAAGGTAGAATGGGATATAATTTAGCGTTACATAAAGTGTACCCAAAAGTTCCTTAGAAGGTCGTGTAAAGAAGATCAAGTGTGAAAAATCCAAAGACGAAGTGTTTAGAAAGTACCCCGTTACTGCAAAATGCGTTTTCACTGATGAGCTGGAAAGTATGCTAGTCGATTATATCAAAACGATGGAATCTCTACTATTTGGATTGACTAAAACAGATCTGCGACGTTTGGCATTCCAATTAGCTGAAAGAAATAATTTAAAGCATCCTTTTAATAGAGAAACTGAACTGGCTGGCTTAGATTGGGTTAGTGGATTTCTTAAATGACATTCTGAATTATCATTAAGATCACCTGAAGCAACGTCAGCTGCAAGAGCAATGGGCTTTAATAGAGCTGTAGTGTCATCATTTTTTAATGTTTATGATACCATTTACGCTAAGCACGCTTTCAATCCCACGCAAATTTATTATATAGACGAGACTGGATTGACCTCTGTACCACAATACAATCTTAAAAAACCGACTTCCAGGCACTAAAATGTAAAAAATATCTAAACGATGGTTTTCATTAAGCATAGATACCTAATCAGATATTTTCGAATCGGTAAAAAGACGAATAAAAAACTATCAGGAGGATTCGGAATCTTTGGTTTGAGGAGAAAAGTACAGTCAAACTAAGTCCTCAAATGAATGGTACCAATGCACTGCTTGACTTAAGTGTGCTTACGAAGTTGCATCGGTTGTTCTGAGCAAGAATTAATATTTTTTGTATGCAAAAACTGCGAATAATTTGAATATTTAGTTTTATTGTTAATATCTGTATTCACCCCTAGAATATAAAATACCTATCCGGTTTGACCCATAGGTATGGGGTGAATTCGGATTTATAATTTTGAATTAAAATTGTTCTATTTTATAGTTATTAACATTGATCTCAAACATTTTCATACCAAAGTTATGCCTAAGGTATACTTAAACGTTTATAATATTGATTATCTCAATAAATAACATAGTGATTTATTTATTGTATCTTCTTCTTAACTATCCGGTGTCCCCCCTCCTTCCCCTATTAAATCAAACTATCTTTCCGGCTTTTTTGTGGATTTATTTTTACTTTTGGCTCTCAAGAGAAGGCTTTCCCTTGACCATGTTTATTATAAATAATTCGAAAAGTCGGGAAAAGATTGTTGTATTTAAAATGTCAAATATTCGCATAAATCTGAGAAAGTATTACATGGGGTGGTCCCAACTACCCTGTGCAATTTTATGCCATACATTCGTATTCTACCGGAATCATTTGACATTTTTTTTTAATTTTATCTCAAATTCCGATTATACTCAAACTTACATATTTGACTGACGTGATATCCTTCGCTAGAGGTACAAGTTTGATTTTCAAAGTTAACCCACGCAGTAGAAGTATTATATATAACGTCACAATGTATATTTTTAAATAAAAATAGAAAGTCCCAACCTACATTTTCGCTCTTTTTAATAGGCTACTTCAGTTTAATAATAATTTAAGATAATACATAATAATTTAAGATATATCTAGGCTCTCAGATTTATTTAAATTTCTAAACTTTTCAATCGGTTTTTTCAATTTATAATGAGGAAATTCAAACAATTTCAAATATTTCAAACATTAAAAGTTTCCTTTGCTACACTTAAGATTGCTTTTTTAAGAATATTATAAAACAAAAATTCCTAACATAAAACAAGAATATTATAAAATAAAATTTTTATTTTAATATTTAATAATAACACACTAATATTGTAAATGCGACGTAATAATGGGGTAAAATAATTTAGTAAGAGGTAACTTGCTACTTAAAACAGATATGAATATTGAGTAGGTAATCAGCAAAATTACACTTACCTATTAAACCAATCATCTGTATATCGGGGATAAGGAAATGGGTCGTTGCTACTGAAATCGTACGAAGCCTCAGCGTTCTGCAACAAAGAAACATGATTGATCAACTAGAATAACATTTATAATCTAAATGCAGTAATAAATCCCTAAACCACATTTTTGTTATTCTCACAAATGTAGGAGGTCACTGTACTTTTAAAATCGTCAGTACGTCTGCCGTGTGGAAGCTACCACCGGCTCGAAAAGCAGTTCTGCTGAGAAAAGCAAGAAACTCAAAAGTTACTCTTTTCAATAATGAGTTACATAATTTATAACAATAATTTTCAGTATTACACACAATTCATGACAAGTCAGTAGTCACTACAGGGCGGTACCGACTACACTGACATCTCTGTGCACAAGCGCGGGAAAACAAATATCTGCCTATCCTTAGAGTTGGCCGTTTCCTATAAAACGTTGATGAACAACGATTTCACTAACCGATGCCGGCATCCGTTGCTGGATTATCGATATAACGTTGCCCGCGCCAACAACGACATTTAACTACTCACAGTCACGAGTCACGCTGCACGCACGATGAAATCAATCGTTTCCACTCGTTTCGTTTTTTATATAAATACAGGCCTTTATTATTTTGTATCCCATTACATTATTTAAATTATCTCAACACATAGGTACCTACATGCATAAATAACATTTGTAATTTATATGTAGGTAGGTATAATTGCCAAAAACAATTGTATGTAGTAAATTTATAATTCATTTAATTGCTTAGGTATTTGAAGTAAAAATAATTAAACTAGTTTATAATAACATCTATTTTTTATCATAACAATGTAATATTATCTACACTAAACAACATCGCATCCTATACCGTTACTCGTTTACTAACTAAAGACTGTTGTCGTTACATCGCCCGACAACAGTCGGCAATCCACAACGCTATCGACCGGCAACGGTGCCAGTATCAACGGTGCCGGCAACAGTTAACATTTACGGGAAAACGTTGCTCACTGATGACGTAAAAAAAACGAAAACGCCCATAACTACCTATCCTTTTTATTTTTTTAAATACATTCCTATCGACCAAGGTTTATAGCAAAATGCCTTATACATAAAACATTACAAATTAATCAAATATATTATTTTCCATTAAAACGCTCATATATAAAATGCAAGCTTACACTATAATATATATCAATGCTAACGTAAATAAATGGGCGGGAAAATGTATACGTTTCACTGTGTTCTATTTTGTAACAATTACATTTTCTAGGTTAAACAAACAAAATATGAATACTGACAGACTGACACTAAGGGGAATTTTTCCCGCCAATTTCCGGGCCATTTTCACTTTTCCGTGACATTGACAGCTCGGCTATTATATTTCAGGTTTTATATCTCTAGACTTTTATGGTTTTCAAAAATATATTTTTTTATTTATATAATAAACAAATAAATAAATAATGTAATACTAAATGTACCCATGGCATAGCTAAAACATAAATTATGTAACTTTTTGGAATCAAAAAAGTGCAATTGTATTTATGAATATGAGTTATAGTGGAATTTAGTCAAATGCTAATATTTTATGGCCTACCAAAAAAGAAGTAAAAAATAAAATAAAATCTTATTTCTCAATAGAATCTACTCCCGAATAAACACAAAAAACGCTACGCTATCTTGCATACTATTCCTTGAAATTCAATGGTGCGTATAATTTTTTTTTTTTGAAATACAGTTTCACAATTTATTTCGCACGTTTAGCGTTTACTTGAAAGATCTAATTTTGTTTAGGCTCATTCCTCTCGCATTTTTTATGTCATTACATCGCTTATTCCACAGTTCATGTGGCCTTTAAAATGTTCCTAATAAATTTATGTTTGTTAGCGTACCCATGTAAAGGTTTTAATAATAGTTCTAATTGTGTATAAAAAAATGGTTCTAATACAAACAGCATTAATTAACTTTAGTGTGTTGTTTGCAAAATAATATTTTTTGTTTTTAAAGTACCAACTTACTAACATCTAATATATTTGCTCAAATACTGTGTATTTTGAATTTTAACGTTAAATTCTCTTGAACTTATTGTGTGTACTTGCGAAGACATTAATAAAGCAAAACTCCTCAAAATACTATGCGTTATGTTTCAGTATAAACATAATGAATTCGAAGGATTATATTTGTCATGTTATTCTATTTGCCGGTCAAAGATTAAAGCAAGCAAGGTCGGAGTAAAGTAACTTTCTCTAAATGAATCGGAAAACGTTGAAATTCAGTACATACATGATGATGATGATGATGATGATCTATTTGGGAGCATAAAGAGGTATATCAACGCTTTTTTTACGCTGGGAATCTAAAATATCCTAGGCTTGCGAAAACGAGATCTCCGGATTGTTAAATAATAAACTTCTTACATGGTGAAGTATTAAAAATTTTGCTTTATAATTATAAAATTTAACTATGTATACGGGCTGTATACATATTTTTAACGTCCCACTGCTGGGCACGGGCCTCCCTTCAGTACGACAGGGATCAGGCCATAGTCCACCACGCTGGCCAAGTGCGGGTTGGCGGACTTCATATGTCTTTCGAAAACTTGTTAGATTCTCTCAGACATACAGGTTTACTCACGATATTTCCTTCAAATATACTTCAAAATTTAACGATATTTTTCCTTTTTAAATAAAACTAAGTATCTTTTGAATTTTTCCACAGATTTATTTTAATTTTTGGTTCCCGGAGTTTCGAATGCTTTACAGCAATTATGGTCATGGGAAAGACTTTTTTCCCTTTGTTATTAATAAGACAGCTATTATAATCACGAAAATTTCTTACTTAATAACGTCTTTGAACCTTTTTTAGACATGAATAAGAGATTTCCATTTAAAATTCAGGAGCAAAACAAATGAGATGACTTGGACAGATTCAGTAATTAGTCGTTAACATAAAAAGAACTTTTTAACAAAAAAATAAAAACCGACTTCAAACAAAAGCACTAAAAAGTAAAAATTAACTGATTGGTAGTTTTCATTTACTATACATACCTAATCAAATATTTTCGAAGTCGGTGTGCTTTGCTTTGTATGGGCTGGCACCGATTTCGAAAATATTTGATTAGGTATGTATTTAATTTAATAGGTAGGCTTTATTTACTTAGCCAAAGCACACCGACTTCGAAAATATTTGATTAGGTATGTATAGTAAATGAAAACTACCAATCAGTTATTTTTTACTTTTTAGTGCTTTTGTTTGAAGTCGGTTTTTATTTTTTTGTTAAAAAGTTTTTATTTTTCCCTTTTTAGTGTAGACAGTAGTAACAAAGTAAGAATTCTAACGTGTTAGGCTTGTCAAATCAAACAAAATAAGCCCAACCTCAAAGTATCTACTATTAGCCGTTGAAGAGTTCCACCTATCCACCTTCAGATCAGGTCAACAATACCGAACCACTGTATCAACTATCAACTATCAACGGAAATAGAAACACTTGCAAAGTTTCAAGTCAATATGACAATTAGAAGTAGGTTAAATTCATCATTAGCTATTTTTCCACCCTTAGGGGTGGTATTTTTTTTGAAATTTAAATGGGACCAATCTGGAAGTATACACTTTCAAACGACACAAAAATTGTCCAAATCGGTTAATAAATGACGGAGTTCTGAGGTAACAAACATAAAAAAAATACAGTCGAATTGAGAACCTCCTCCTTTTTGAAGTCGGTTGATAAATTTAAATAGACGTTGGAAGACAAAAACATATGATTCATGCGTATAATACGTGTTATTTCTAATACATTATTTACATTTATTTAATTTTGGCTTCTCTGTTAAAATAATCTTAGTACCTAAATTTTATCTCCCGTATTTTCCCCCTCTATTTCACGACAGATTAATACCAACATAAATATTTATTATAATAAAAATAACATATAAGAAAATATACTTAGTAAAAAATACACAAAACATTACTTCTTCTATAACGCCTAATCAATTGGAATAAAGTCATACACACTAAATCTGTCCTTTAAAGAGGTTTAAGTTTATTCTGATTTAGGTCGAAGTTTATTCTGATTTGTAAGTAGTCCCCACAAATTATTGGGATAAGGCTCTTAAGCCCACTTCGTTTTGTTGAAAATCAGAATATAAAAATAAAAACATAGGGACAATAGGATAACATGATATTTCTCTACTTTTTTTTCTTTCGAAATTGTTATAAGTACAATATTTAATGTTCCTTATAATTCTATTCTTTACTAGGGACTTACCCTCGCTCTGCTCGGGTGCGCCCCTAAGTACGTTTTAATTTTTTTGAACGGGATCCTAATTCTTTTTCTAAAATGAAAGCGGCCTATTTTACTCCTTATAATATCACCAGTAAAAGCATCTACCAGTAAAAGTCCCGTTAAAATCAATCCAGCCGTTTCGGAGACAGACTGACAGACTAAAGACTAAATTATGTTATTCTTATAAGTAATGTATAAAATTTCATAAGCATTTAGTAAAAATCTGTTATTTTAATATTACAAACAAAGTCCAGACGCTTCAATTTTATTTATCTGTATAAGTAATTCTATTGCAAGAGTAAACACATTGTAAAATTTTTAACTAAATCACATACAAACAATTATACTACATACTAAATAAAATATATTTAATACTTACATAATTAAATTTCAAATCTGGATGCATGTAGTCAACACCTAAGAAAGAAAGAATATTTTTTAATTTGCACAATAATCACCACTTTTATTTAGTTTTTATTTTATTCGTATTCTTCTCAGCAAACCCTTCCATTTGATATCCATATTATGGGGGTGTATATAAAATATAGTCCGCCATATTACTTCAAAAATACCTATTTATAGTTTTATATTGTTAATAGCATGAACGAATTAGCCACGTTCACGGTTAATAGTTATTAATTCATATTTAGTTCATGGTTAATGATTTTAATATTATCCTATATGTTTAATATTGTAACAAAAATGGTAAAAGTCAAATATTAAAAAATAATTTTTAAAATAACTTTAACTGCTGAAGTTTAATTTATAGAAAATTTAGATGAAGTAAAGCACATTTGGTAAAGAAGATTAATGAAATACAAGTACTTAGTACTCAGACAGTGACCTAGACGAAGAAAGGGCAAGCCGTGTCGAATATCTCTGGCAACATTGAGGGTTCGTATGTTCTTGAAATAGTAGAAGTTAACGAGCAGGGCGTTTGGTCGTAAAGGTATTTATTACTTAGGTATATATACATATATATATATATATATATATATATATATATATATATATAAGTATTGCTTATCCAATTTTTTTTATTTTGATTTAATGGTATTTCAATTGTTAATTACTGCTTTTGGATTTCGAGAAAAAATAGTACGCACAAGATTCACAACAACGCTGTATAATATCTTAGCGGCAATGATACGCATTATATTTCAAGTACAATAAAATAAAAAAATACTTATTAATTCTATAAATTGTTTTTTAGTACCAAATTGGTACGAACAAATATTGGAAAATATTAAATCATTGTAAATGTTATGTCATTATGAGTCATATTAACTTACCATCGTCCATTATAGCCGTAGTCACATTCACACCAGTATACCCTTGAGCCCAAGCCGCTTCTACATTCAAGTCCAACTTGGGTTTCCCTCCATTTTGTCCTGTATTTTTGAGATACCATTGCAGAGGGAAATAAGGGTCTCGAGGTTCAGCAGCCGGCGCGGTTTCCGGTAGACGAAGCGGGCGGAACCCTCGCTTGACTCGCTTGAAGCCGGTCTGTTGGACTGCCGTATGAACCTAATAACAAAGTATTTATGTATATCTAAGAAGTATTCGTCATAATCGATAGATTTGATCATATTTCTTCGTGGCATTATCCCAGATTTTCAAAGAGAATAACAGTTTATAATAAAAATGGGTAATAAAATATTACCTACGTTTCTAGTTTTAGCTAAATAACATTGTTACTTACAAACGCAATATACTTTGTTAACTCAAGTAACATAGAAATGGATTAGATATACTTTGCTCAAGTCAAAGTTTAAAATAGGAAAGTAATCCACTAATGTGTTTCCTAAGACTTAAAGTAAGTACTTTGTTGAAAATGGTATCTACTTAAAGTTACTATCGCATGATCAGGTAAAAGTCTTTATTAAATGAGTGACCTTTTTTTATTTATTTTTTATTTGAGTAAGTCTAACACCCACAGACATACGTCCGTGCCTTTTTTGAGCATTTTTATATTTTGTTATTTTTATTTTGAGATGGATTTGACTATGAATGACTAACCATTTCAGATAATGGTTGTTATTTAGCTATGCTGTACTAGTATTGATATAAAAAGTTAGAAACAGTAAATAAATATTATTAATGTGAAAGTTTGTGAGTATGGATGTTTGTTACTCTTTCACGCCAGAACGGCTGAACGGATCTGGATAAAATTTGGCACAGAGATAGATTATAGTGGAATAACACATAGGCTACTATTTATCTCTAAAAAATATAAGGTTCCCGAGAGATAGAATTGTTTTTGTCTTTCTAGAGGCGAACCCGAGAAAAGCGTGGGTGAGCCGCTAGTTAATCATGTAAACGTAGTCTTGATAGCTCCGTATTCAATTGAGGTTGTTTTTTTTAAGATTAATTGAAATAAATGATACATTATGCAAGTAAAGCACACATTTTTGTCTCTTTTTTAATTAATTTAATTATTGATATTTCATTTCATAAAAATTATATTCTATGGATGCGAATTTTGCTTTCAAACTTTGGTGATTAAAGTTTTATATGCTTATATTCTTTCTAAAATATCAATGAAAGCGTTAGAGTTAAATAATAACTGTTGCCAAATATTTCATGATTAATGTTTTAAAAAAATCGATCCTTACTAGTGGGTGACGTTTTAACAAGCGAGTATGAGCGATGGACCTGCGTGGGCGCGCGTGCGGTAAGCCGCGATGCGCGAAATGCCACTCTGTGTCAGAACCGAGGACCTGTAAAAAGAAGATAGTAAGTAACATATCGATCACACTCTATATCAAAACTAATGATAAATCGTAAATGGTATACAACCATTATAACATTACGCATTTTTAATTTTATTTAAACTCGCACTATAAAAAGAATAGAATAATGGATAGCGGACACTTAAATAAATATAAAAGAATCAGCAATGTAAATTTTTTAAAGTCCCACGGTTCTGAAATATGTATTTCAAGCTAAAATTTTACAATAAATTAATTTAATAATTTAAAAACACCCCCAACACAATAACCTTTTCATTGAGGCCATTTTAATGACTAAACACGATATCTCTGCAGTATTTTAGTAAAGAGTGGAGATCTTGTTCTTGCAGATTCTAGGTGACGCTCCAGCATCAGGCCAAGGTTACCATATCGTTGCAATGTCATCGAAGTAACAGGATACCAAATTTCAAATGAATTAGATCTGTGGAAATTGCACAGATCCTTTTACCGTCTAAAAAAGAGCTGATAGCTTGCTAATAGCTGAACAGATTTTCTTGATTTATAGCTAAGAATACACTCGATTAAGTCATCTTTCAAACAAAGAAAACTAAATTAAAATAGGTTCATCCGTGTGGGCGCTACGATGCCACGGAACGACATACAGACACACACGTTAATAAACTTATAAAACACCTTTTTTGTATCGGAGGTTAAAAATGAACTGATTACTTGTCACTTACATATATTCAAAGATTTTTTTTCGTAGCTTTCATATAGCGATCGTTACTTTAAAATATCTCGAAAACATGATTCTTTAGAACAAGATGATGCTGATGTTATTTGTTCGCTTAAGTGTTGTATTCATGCATAGGTACTAGTTTAATCAATAAAAGTGAATACTTTGTTTTAGATTTTGTATACAATAGATAGCAAATATGAACGATAGAGAAACGTAGGCACGTAGTGAATAAATAATAGATAATAATAAATAAATAAATATGTTGAGACATTAACACAGCACCATCTATTACAGCTAGTTCCATGGTAAGCTACAAGGCCTGTGTTATGGATACCAGATAGTTGAGACACTACACATATATAACTTTAGATATATACACATTATAAATATGAACCCCCATGACTGAAGTACAAATATTCGTGTTCGTCACACAAACGTGTCGTCAAATGAATAATTATTATGTAATATGTAGTACATATTTTCTAATATAATAGACTTTCATGTGAATACTAAATACCTAATTATCAGCTGATAACCCACAACCCTCAAAATAATGTTATTGCTATACATCGTTTCTTTGAAGAGAACTGTTTTTAGAAGAAGATGTACGATACATGCTTTTCTACTCGTTGACGCTATATTTCGGTAAAATTTACAGTATGAGAAGAGAACTAAGAGCTTTGAGAGTACTTGAACATTTTTACTCACAAGTACTCTCGAATACGACTGAAATATATTATCGACGAATATATTATGTAGTCGCTAGGTAAAATATCGGGCTTTACGTTAGGAAAAGTATTTTAACAACTAACTATCAATTTTAATTACTTCATTTCGGTTTATAATCACAGATATATAATAGGCTCAATATAAAAAAACTAACTTCATAATTTTGTAATAACTTAAGATCGGAAAATGGCGCGACGATTAGTTTTAACAGTTTAAAAAATAAAATAAGGCTTTATCGCACAAAGACGTTACTGTTAATAAAACTTTACGACCATCATTCAAGTTGAAAACTTTAAAAACAATCCTGTTAGTTCAGGAAGCAACAACAAGAAAAGAGTAAACTTAATTTTCTTTATAACAGCAAGAAAAACTTTGCACGTGTCGCCTATTTTAAATATGTATGTTCATAGGAACTTTGTATATTCAAAGTATGAAGAAAGAAACTAACATATTACTTAGTTGTAATACTAATCAATTACTATTAACGTAATGATTCTTAAAGTCCAGCTTTAAAATATTCTGTATTAAAAAAGAAGGAATCGAGCTAATACTAATTTAATAGAGTCAAAATTAAATTCACGTATTTACAAGCTATAAATTTGTAAAAAAAAACGTATGATACTACCTATCACACTAAATCTGGTAATAAATAGACAATATCTATGTGCATAAAAACCAAAGCCATAAGCAGTGGATTACCTCCGAAAAAAGCCTTAGATCGTTACAGTCTTCAATCGTGTTCCAATATAAAAGCGCTATATACTTCCTATTTACTCCAATTTATTAGCTACACTCAATGCCTGAATATTCCATACAGGCGCAAATGAAAGCGAACTTTATCACAAAGCAGTAAAGTCCAAGTAGCTATTACTTTTATAGTTCCGCCTCGACCGTGAAGGCGCTTAGCGAAATGTTATTTTGACGAAAATTTTTACACGAGTAGAATACGAAATTACTGTTTAAAGGTCTTAACAAGAGGATTGTTCCTTAAAATAATAGGTAATTTAGCCAAATTTGTATTGCCTTCTTAGGGGGTGTCCATTAATCACGTGATCTTTTTTTAGCATTTTTTAACCCCCCCTCCCCCATTGGTGATACGTAGTGAGGTTTAAGACCACCCCCCCTCCCCCTTCTCAACATCACGTGTATTTTTAGTACCTACAACGAATCTTAAAATTTTCTGAATATTATCTTAATTTAAATACCTGTATTTATTGTACTGTATTAAACTATAATCTTATTTTATTCTGAAATTAAGGACCATAATAAAAATGTCTACACCAGGTTGCAAGTTTTTTTTTATTGCCATAACAATGATAATAAACGAAGAGTGTAATCATAGGAAAAACATGTATTGTACTAGTACATGAATATATTTAATGTATATTGTCCTCGAACCACGGATTAGCAAGACATTCTTCAACACTAACAACTGGATAAGCGTCTTGCAGGTGTTTGACGAAAAAATAAATACACGAGATATCTTACTACACCCCCCCCCCTCCCCCTTGTGTTATTTTCGTGATTTTTATCAAACCCCTCCCCCCCCTTTCAAGCCTCACGTGATTAATGGACAACCCCTTACTAGAATATTAATAAGGCAATTTTTAAACTTTTTTGATAGTTTTAGTGGTTGTCTGGTGTTTTATTATTTAAATGAATTAATTTACGTATATACATAATACCAAACATTACTTTCATAAGATTTCTGTAAATCCGAGGAAGTTGTAAAGCTCAGAGAGCAAGCTATTTGCGTAATGTAAATCAAATTTTACTCACATAAACAAGCCAACACTTTACCAAAAGCTAACAAAATCTAAAGTTTTACTTAAGTTTAATCACGTAACACTAATTGACATATCATTTAAATGAATCTCTATTGTAATGTTTTCATTACAATTTTTCATAATGTTATATTATAAAGTTTCAAGAACATTTAGAAAATATAGAGACCTCTAAATATTCTGTCTTCATTACAAACGAGCTTTCTTGCTTTCACAAAAACGCGACTCTACAACGCTTCTTAAATTAAAACTAGACTTTGCAAAGCGTACTTAAATGAGTCAAGTATATACAAGTTGCTGAGTTCTAATGAGAAAGTACTGAAACGAATACAAAAATGCATCATACTCAGAAAAATTAAGTTCTATATCCACTTAGTATATTATAATATAAGCAAAAACAACTTTAGACTCTAATTTTTTATTTTCATTTATTATAATATTCATACATGTCAGTCGTTACACGTGTTCGTATCTGTTTCAGACAGTGAGAAATATAGAGCAATATAAGCTAGAATTTCCTTTGTAAAATACCACACTTATAACTTCTTTGTTATATAACAGCGTATTGGCGTCAAAGGACAATACAAAATATATGGCCTGAAGAAAAATCGACCTGAAATGAAATTAATTGTGTCTCAAATATAAAAGCTTTGCTTAAATTATTTTAGAGTTTCACGGTAACAAAATGAAGACTTTATCTATACAATATGTCTGTGTCTGTAAATTACAGACACAATTACCAGATTTGGCTTCGTAAATTCAACTTGTTTAAATAAACTACTACGCCCATATTGATTTGATTCATATTCTTATCTTTTTGACTTACAATTATTATCGATACAAAAGAAAATCATTTGTTTAAGGATCTTGGAATGCTTGACAACCGTCTTAGAGCTTGTATTTGTAATACCAACACAATATATTATCTAAGTACAGTGTAATGTATATTGCACATGGCATTTGATAATTGCTTTGACTTAGACGAAAATTCTATTTTTAATAAAAACGCCGTAAAGAATGTAAATAAAGCGTTGAAATAAATAATTGTAGCTACCGTAAAATACCGTTTGCGGTTGCGACCCTTTCTAAAATCGGCGACTCCGGCGTGAGCTTAACAAAGTGAATTCCATTGTTAGAAAAAGTTCTAACATTTTTAATGAACATCCTAAAAACAGAGGTGGAATTTGGGAATAATTGAAGGTTTTTTGATGTGTAAATAAAAATAAAAATTGGTTATGCCGGACTCGGTGATTGTGGTGACGCCAATATTTCGAAAAAAGACTGAGATAAGCCGACACGTGAATGATTACTATCAATTTACCGAAAGTTCCATTTTTTTTATCCAGTAAACGAAGCTCTAAGAATTTGTAAAGATACGAAATAAATGAAAACACAAATAAATGTTATTATTATAAAGATGTTGTTACTTAATATTATCTAACGATCACTAAAGAACAAAAAGAGACAAGCCTTTTATAAAAGATCTATTAAAATTTAAAAGTAAAATAATCCTTTAGTTAAAGAAATTAAATTGTACGAAATTAGTTATTTTCTTTACCAATACAAGACGAATTATTATTCTTAAATAGAGTGCCTTTAGCGAACTATTGCCAATTCGAAGGCTAAACTTTGGGAACAATTCATTATACAAAATAGACAGGGCAAGGACTATATTAAAGTCAGTATTGTGCTCACTTCTAACACATTCTTCTACTAAATGGCTTTTATTATTATTAGGCTTCGAGTAAAAGGAAACTTTTAATACATTTTTTACT